AGGATTGTATGCGAATGCAGCGCGATTCAAGTTTTCATTTGCGGCTCGTCTTCCTCTATTATTTTGTCGGGCTGAGGTGGTCTTTGTGCAGCGCGAAGCTGTGCCATTTGGGCACGTATCGATGCATTTATTTCTGTACGTTCCTCTTGCGTCCGACTATTACGAAAATTCTGATTATTTATTGCACTGCGTGAAAGCCGCCCAAGATTTGATCGTCTAACAGCAGGCATTACTTCCACTTGTTTAAGCTCACTTTGGTAATGCTTCGTTAGCTCGATTTTTTTGTTTAAATATTTTTTTACCGAGTTCATTGATACACAATTTCAGCGCAGCTATGATCTTTGTAGGGTGTTTCAGAATTTTACATACAACAGTGTGTCCATCTGTTGAGCCGCTAGCGACCTTTCCGGAAGGACTTCCCAAAATTTTCTTATGCTATAACCTTCTTCTAGCAATTACAAAATTTTTGCCGTGTTCAACCAGTTTTCTCGTTTTGGCGATAGGTCGATAAGTTCACCGCAAAAAGTTATCGCCAAGGTTGCCATACTGTTGGTGGAACGAAACAGCCAGTTAAAAATACCTATAAAATATAAATGAATACATTAATAACTTTAAAGGACCGCCAAAATGGTTGTTTATTGTTAATGCTATTTAATGTAATTACTTAAATGGTCCAAATTAACCAAATAATTATTTGAGACCACCGGAATTAAAACTGTGAAAAGTGTGGCAGCATCTTAGATGACTAGATTTGCTTAGCTCTAGCATTTTTTGCCCTTTTCTGGCTTACTAAAAGGGCAATTGCAAATATAATAGGCAATACTTTACATTGTTTGCTTATTACCAAAAACACAAGTTAGAGACTTGAGCAGTGAGAAACGATGAGAAAACGAAACATTCCGATAGCAGAAATTTGCCGAAAACCGGAGCAGCTATAAACGAAAACGGTTCGTTTTCGCCCAAAACGAAATCGAAAAAATTTTACGATTACCGGAGCAGGCCTGAATAATAATAATATATTTCTTAATGTTTCAGCAAACATTTCATATTTGTTTACAAATTTAAATCACTGGCAGCAGTGAAATGATTTGCATATATAAATAAATAAAATAAATAAAAAAAAAATTAAGATTTGTTTACTGTTTCATTTACCTTTAAAAAAATATAAAAAATATATATATTCGAATACATACAAATGAATGGTGATGGTGGTGGTGTCTGCATACCCAATCGTCGGTAGGGTATGCAGGCACCATCCGCTCGCAGAAAAACAATAACAGCTGATTTGATTCCTCAACCCCATAAGAGCAGTCGGGGTTTTTAGTGACACCGACTGTACTATGCCCTGTTCCTATATCAGTAGATGGATTTTTATTCATTCGAATGCATACATATATGCAAATCGTTTCACTGCTGCCACTGATTTGAATTTGTAAACAAATATGAAATGTATGCTGAAACATTAAGAAATATATATTGTTAGGGTACCTAGCGCGAAAAGTAGCAAAAGACCAAATATTCTTGCTGGGCCGAAATGAAATAATCGCACACATGCACCCGTGTACGTGAATGCATGAACACGCATACATATAAAGAAGAATTCAAGCGCAGGGCAACCTTCTCAAGATGCGCCATTCTGCAACTGAACTCTCGTAACCAGTGTGCGAGCATAAGAATGAGGGAGCGAAAAACCCGAGCGCACACGAAGGTACGGGGCCTGTCGCTTCGTGCGCACACGCAGTCTCGGGGCCTGTCGCGAACAGCTCTGGGGCCTGTCGCTAAGAAATTTTTGATCCCATTTTCGTTGTATGAAATGACCAGTCTATATGTTGTATGGTTAGTGATAATATTTAGTTCATAAAGACATTTAATGTTATTGTTATTGGGCGGCCCTTCAGCGTTATAGCGGATAATACATCAATACATAATCAGGCCTGCTCCGTGATGCTCCTATGATTTGTGGAGCATATAGTTCTAAGGAAAAAAACAAATCTTAAGTAAAATGTTTATTTTTTAAGTTAAATAATGATAAAATTAAATAAATGTATGTTTCTTTTACATTTAAATAAAAAGCGAAATTCTGAAAAAAAAAATTGGAATTGGAAATGGATATCAAATATGTATCTGAAACGTCAAAAGACCGCAAACGGTACTTTTCCGGTATTGCCACAGGTCCGCAAACTGCACTTTTTCGGGTTCCGAAAATGATAGCCACAAGCCCCATGACAGGTTAACTTTATTATATTTATTTTTCCGCCTGAGATCCCCAAAACTTCCGTTTGTAATATTTTTAACGAAGTTTTTGTCTGCTGGGAACTCAACATACTGTGCGTGTTTAATTGAAGGTGAAGAGGAATAGAAAAGAACATGAGTTGGGGAGCAGTGATGCCAATTTGTCCTCTTTCCGGACAGATCTGTCCTGTTTTTAACGCTTTATTCGGAAAATATTGAAAATCATCCGCATACCTGAAATCTGTCCTTTTATTAGATTTTTCATCTGAAAATCCTTTTTTTTTTTAACTAATATTCTTATTTTTTCTAAAACAGTTTTTTTCGCGCTCCAATTTAAATTTATTATTAGCTGTAAAATATGAAACATGAGGCAACTTTTCGCGGCTGCCATACTTACATATATCTACAGTTTGGTGAAAAATTCATCGAAAAACAACTCTATTTACAGTTTACTTGCACTCTCTGTTTCGGTACTAAACACGCAATTTCAAAATTTGAATTATAATGTTGAGGCAGAGAAAGTTTTTAGCAAAGTAAACTTGGTGAAAACCAAGTAACCGTTTAGAGGTAGATAGATTAAATGCCATTTTGGCAATCAGGTAACTATATATATATATATAAATAAAAATAATATTACTGTAAACAAACTTTTTGTCTTTTTTATCCTTTTTATAATATTTTCATGCTATTTTTCCTGTTTTATTTTTCTCAATCTGTCTTTTTTTTTCGAAAAAATATTGACATCACTGTTGGGAAGTCAGACTTGTTGTGAAATTCGAAAATCATGCCACGAAAGTCCAGTTGGGGATTCCGATTTCCTCCCCTGGCCTGTAATAATAAATGACTTACTCTCTTGATCTGGCAACACCATACAATTTTCGCAGGTATCATTTTCGTCGTCACAGTACCCGCAAAAACGATGAGGGAAAAAGTTCTTTTTCTTCCTGTTTTCACAGCAGTATATGGAGTTTGGCCGCTTTCACAATTGTTAAAGCGGATTCTTGTCGTCTCAGTACTATGATTGTTTACAAAAAACAACTGGAAATACGTGCCCATATGACCTTTTTCTTCAATTTCTTTAATCACAATTTCTTAAGTCGGATTTATCCCATATTAGTACTTTTCTTTAGAAGTTTGAAACGAAGTGAATAAGACATACGACTGTTGATCTAGTCAGTTTAGTCTACGGGTTGCTCTGCTTAAACCTGTCATCTTTCTTTTAAAATTGCTCCAACTATTTAGTGGTTGTATGAAGGGGTTGAAACTATAATTGCGTGAACAAATACCCTATTGTCCAATCAATCCGTCTGCCTGATATAAATTTAAATTTATAAAATGTTTTACACATTGTATAATTGTATATTTTCGTTTAAATATGTTACACGCACGTATACACACATATAAAATTTAATTATTATGCTTTACTTAAAGAATATGGTTAAATAATACTGGCATAACTCTGATTGTTGTTTTCAGACTTAGGCCATTAGTAAAAATATATTTATGTACATTTTATACTGGTTTACACTCATATATTTATTTTGCATATACCCTTGTAAAATACATACATATGTATAAATAGCGATTAAAGTTCCTAAATTCCTAATAACTCGACTGTGATAACACCAGAGAAACTACAGATGTTACTGGAAAATATTTTGTATAGATTAAAAAATGTTTTGTGCCTTGTTTTTGATATAAACTTCTTTTAAAACCATACATGATGCCAAATTTAGTTTAAATATAATATGTATGTATGTATGTATGTGTTTATTTTATATTTATACAAGGGGTCTTTCAAGATTAATGCATGTCCTACTTGGCTTACCAAAACCATAGGTTTTTTAACTAACTTTAATTTTATATAGAATTTGGTGGGCATTTTTATTTAGTGGATATTGAATTTAATTGCGCATCCTTATGATTATTGATTTTATTATCGTCATTATTATCATTTAATCAAGTTGAGTATTTATTACTTTTGATAAAATTAAATTTGAATAGGGTCCGTGGACACCTTTTAATAACTGATATTGATTGATTTTTAAAAAACACTCATTATTTATGGTTATTAGTCGGTTAGTATTCTGCCATATATATCCTGCTAATCGTTTAAGTTTGTATATGCGCCTCATTTTATTGAAAACAAACCATCATAGCGTTCAGCAATACAATAAATATCTACAATGTATACACTATTGAGATTATTATTCGTACAATTATTTAATTGCAATGGTTTATTTATACATATACATACATACAAAGATACATTGAAACATTTAATATAAAATATTTACGTACTATAATTTTATTGATAAAGTTAAATTGACAAGAATAAAATTTGAATACTAAAAATAAGTAAAAAATTCCGTTGTTTTGATTGTAATTTTTGTTTTAAATAAATTTTAAAATAATTAGACACATATTAAAATCTGAAACCATGACGATCATTACTTAAGATAACTTTTATGAAAATTAGACAACAAAGTGAACATAATAATACATATATGTAACCTTGTATATGTCCAAGGTAGATCTTAAGGTTTTTTAGAACTCCCTATAAAATTCATCGAACCGAATTTGTGCAGAAGCAAATTAATCACGATATATCTGAAAACCCATAGATAACGAGTGTTTTCCATTCAGTTGAAAGTCAGCGTCCATTTTTAAAAAGTTTTAAAGCATATATCAAACTCGAGGACGAATTGAATAAAAGAAAAGTCACACATAATGCATTGGTTGAGAAAATAAGGTATTAAGATCATAAATTTAATTTACACAATATTCCAATTTTATTAGAGGCTTTTATTCCGCGACAGTAAAAAGAATCACAGAACTTTTGCTTTTTTTTTCTTCATATATAAATATATATAGTGCCATTAGGAATGTGACTTAGTACCAATTATGAACTGCACATAAGAATAAGTTATACATACATAAATATAGAATTACTTTACTTTTGAACATAGGTACGAAACTATTAATATAATTTTCCTTGTGTTTATAGATTATATAAATTAAAGTCAGTCGTTTTTTAAGCTGAATTACTTTTAACTTGACAAATTTCATCTCACATTATTTTACTTAATATTAATCTACATATACGTACAATACCATTATTATATTTTAAGTAAGCATTAGATGAGCAAATATACGACACATTTACATTCTATCAATTTTGTTGTTGTTGTTGTTGTTTGTGAAACAAGGACATTTACATATATATTAATGAAAAATTGCGCTGCTATTAAAAACGTTGTCTTTATACAAGTTTAAAAAAATTTGGAAATATCAATTGGTTTGCAATGTTTAGCCAAGTACATATATATTATTGGCATGTGAGAGATCGAACTTTTGAAACACTTTCTAATTACAAATTTAGGAAGTTGAAGATGTATTTGTACGATCAAATATAATCAAATTAAATATGTTAAAGAAAAATAAAGATTCCAGAATTAAAATGATTTGTAAAAACATCCTTTTTAGTTAGAAATTGTTGAGACATAAAGGTAAACGTAACAAACAAAAGTGGGACACAAAATGTAAGAAATTATTTACTTAAACCATTAACAATATCGAATTATAACTATAATTTTTATTTTTGTATATATATTTTTGACAAAACACAAAAATTAAAAAAAAAAGTTTACTTTTGCAAAAAAAAAGAATGTTGTAAACAAAAGCGTAAATTAATAATAATGTGGTATTGGTTTATTGACAACAACTTTTGAAACATGATGATTTTATCAACTAGATTATATGCTTAATACATAAGCTCACTTTATTTTGCTTATTTTATTAGTTAGTCATCTTTGTTTTTGTTTTAGTTTTTTAGTGCAAAAATCTTTTTTATTCGGCTGACATTATGTTGTGAACTTGCTCTAATTTAAATGCCAAACGCTGTTTTTGCGAAAACTCATCCTCTTCAAGTGTCACTGTCAACTGTTCATTGTACTTAACAGCGTATGTATAGAGCTCATGTAGAGCACAATTTGTATTAAATTCTGTGGTGTGCAACTGAAATAACATGATAAAGGCATTTAAAATAGAGATTATTTGAAAATTCGAATATACATATGTGGACAAATAACAGGTTTGCAATTTGTTTATTTTTTAACTTCTTATTTTAACACAATTCTTAATTAATCTCAAAAATTTAAAGATATTAAAATATAAAAATGATTGGCCTTTTGGGCAAGAACATTCCTTTTGGGATCATTAGTAATGATAGGTAATGATTCATTACCTATAAGTTTATATAGTACTAGCGCCCCAATTTCACGACTTCATATAACCCCAGAGTAATAGTAGAACAATGGTAATTCAAATTTGTTGTGAAATTTTTGTAGACTCGAAATCAGTGGAGAATGATGTGATAAACAATATTTTTTGTTTTGTTATCCGGTGCAAAAATAAATAAAGATGACGGCTTTCCCACACGCGAACAGGCTATGTATAACTGCCCATGTGAAAAACATTGATATTCCAGATTTATTCCGCAGACTTTCAACGATTGGCCTTGCGATTTATTGATTGTCATCGCAAATGCCAATCGAACTGGGAACTGAATCATCTTGAATTGAAATGGAAGATCTGTTGGAATAATCGGAATTCGTGGGATAAGAACTTTCTCTCCTTTAAATTTACCCTTGATGATTGTCGCTTGAATCACGTAGTTCATTAGTGTCTTAACGGACAACCGGGTACCGTTGCATAATCTCGGATTGCATGTGAACGCATGTGAGCGTACTCATGCATATGGCGCGAGCTTCCAACATAAGAAGATGGAAGAATGGTCAAATAACCGATGTTGGCCGCGTGTCTTTCAGTAGCGATGGCGTCACGCAAGTGGATTAAATTAATGAAATTGAGACGTTCCATTTCTACTGTGTTGTACATGTCGACACAGTACTGTTGAAACAAACGGCGGTATCTTAACAGATGATTGTCAACATCTAGTCGAATCATCAATCGATACTCATAAAAATTCATAGAGTTGACCTTCTTATTCGTTTCTTCTCCTAGAATTTGAATTCAAACTTAGCTGTAGAATCAAAAAGAAGTGATGACTTGTAAACGAACCTGTCGTTGGATTGACCATCTTTATGTTGAAGTGATACCCATCTTCTCCACGAAAGAACGGGTATTGAAGAGCATCATATGACCGATGAGTCTCATAAACTCGCTGCAATTGACCATTATCCCGACTCTTAGGAACAATATCGCGTGATTCCACATTATCGCCAACAATCACCACTACGACTTCATTACCCCTCTAGTGCCCAAATTTTTTTTTTTTTTTTTTTTTTTTAATTATTTTTATATTTAGTATGTATCAAAAGTGAATGTTTGTTTTAGAAAAAATTTTACTTTTCCTCGGATTGAGTTTTATATGACTAAAACCTTGGACAGCATGAAGGCGGTTCTGGGAAGATAGGCCAACAAAAAATTTTTTGTGTTTAAATGTTTATTATAAATGTCATTGAGACTGTCAGCAACACAGTACAATTTTTTTTTCTAATTTTTTTCCAATTTTTAAAAAAGTATATGTTGCATTTCCTACAAAATAATTATTTTGTCCGAGTTGCAGAAATGTTCAACTTCAAATGAATACAGCAGCTTGCGCTAGCTCTAGTATGTATTCCAAACGCAACGAACTTAATTTTTGGACTTTCCTGAATTTGAAAAAACGGAAAACCGTGTGAAAAGGAATGAAAATAATAAAATAACGGTGTTTTTAATATTGCCTGTCTAGAGGCGGTCTTGGGCACTACTGGGTTAATTGTGGGAGCATTAAATTGTCTTGTATGGCTACCAGTGGGTCTTTTGTCAGCGCTGATAATGATTTTGTGTTCGCCATAATGCATTATATCCAATGCGGTTCTGAACAATCTAACCAATTCATTAAAAATTAAATATTGCTCAGCGGTGATTTAGTTCAACTGCCGTATTACCAATGAAATAAGTTTGAAGGAATTTATGATCTTTGTTTTGTGGTGATAACAAAGCGACCGCTCGGTAGTGAATTTGCCCTTGAATCTGAATGTTGGGATGCAATTTCGAAAAAATGGGAGTTGTTCATTTTGATAATAAAGAGACGCCATTACCTTATAACTTGGATTGTATCCTGGTTGATAAACAACCTCGGCTCCAAATGACGTCATTTGAAAGCATCCGTTATATTTTTGTGCAAGCTTTAGGAAACTGTTTGATCGGGCTGAAATTCCATATAGTTGCGAATACAATGGCTCTGTTGGATGAGCCAAAACGGCAATTTAATTTTGCCACGAGCACAGCATAAGCTGGGATTTCCAATCGAGACTTCAGTGCATTGCAATGCTGACATAAGACAAATGCTGACATAAGACAGACAATGAACCAATAACAACGCAGATATGATCTTTGTAGTGTTTGGGTGTTTCATAATTTTACATATAACAGTGTGTTCATCTGTAGAGCCGCTACCGACTTTTCCAGAAGGTTTTCTTATGTAATAACCTTCTTCTGGCAATTACAAACAACTGAGCCAAATCGGCCCACCCGTTCTCTTGTGATGCGATTGCTAACATTTTTTGTCTCCATTTTTATATATATAGATTCGTCGCTTTCGATTACATTACGGAATTTTTCCTAGCAATCACGATCTAGTGATAATATTGTCTTCATCTATAAATTTGTCGAACCCTCGAAGAACAATTTCCAAAATGTTTTAAAAATAAAGATTTAGGTGTTCATCTAGTGTCACCAATTTTTTTCGGGTAAAACAAATTTTTTTGCAACTTTATGAAACAGTTTCTGAAAAATGAAAATTAATTTAAAGATTTTTCTGTCTTCTCAGAGCTATAGAGGGACGTACACAAATCTGGCATGACCGTCAAAAGATACACAACATTAAATACAAACTCTTCATGTAGGCCGAAGGGACTAGGACAACGCTCATTTTCAGGTGTGACGCCACCGCCATGCCAGAGGTGAGTATTTTTTTTTTATATGTCGTGACGTCCCTATGTAACCAAGGGGATACGCCCACCTTTATTTTTTGCGAATACGGAAAATTTTCAGGACTGGGAAGAGGTCCTAGACATAACTATCTAACTAACTAATATCCGAGACATTCGCAACACAGAGACAAATATGAAAACATTGTACAGTCAAAGATTTAAAACAGGAGGATCAAGGTTAGATCTACCCCGGAGAGAATCGACAAAGACGTCACGGTCATTCTTAACGACGCATACAACGAGACGTACAGACTGACGAATTAAGACATACCCACAATTGAGAAACGAAAGCTAAGTGAGCTCAAGAAAAATGTTAGGAAAGTCTTTAATACAAGTTACGGGTGCAAATACTGGTGCATACAAAAGGAATGCAAAAAGCGGATATACGCGGCCAAGGAGGACTCTTGGAGCAGCGAACTTCGAATCGCTAGAAGGTGCAAAAGATAGTTAGATTGAGAAAAATTCTATTAAGAGGGCAAGCAAGCCCCATACTTATAAAAAAAAGTCTGACGGCACAGGAATTGCGTCAGCCGAAGTCACTGGAGATCCTTCTGTATACACACTTCCCAGGAGACCAGATGGAAGAACCCAAAACGACGGAAAGCCAGAGGGCGAACCAACGACTAGAAGTCGAAGATATCCATATACCATGGAAAATTTTCATTGATCGGTAGAATCCTTGGACAATCCGACAGAAACATGCTTGAGTAAATGCTTAAGGGGGAGACATCTGAGTAACTTTTTTTAAAAATCGAAAAATTTTTTTTTTGCTTAAAAAATTCTTTAGGGTCTTAAAAAGAACATACCAAAAGATAGAGTCCGGCAAAAGTTGCTAAGTATCGAAATTTTCCATTCTGCGGTGATGCCTCACATGTATCTATATACGATTTTAAAACTTTAAACGCGTTTTTCTCAAAACCACTTTTTTTGAGTCGGCCGGAAACCTAACTCAAAAAAAATCTTAACCGATCGATCTGAAATTATGACAGTATAGTCAAAATACCTTTGTCTATCGACACACGTAAGATTTTTTTTGCTTACTTTTTTTTTTATCAACAATTTTGTGACGTTTTTTTTTCGTGAAAATTGAAAATTTTTTTAATCACTAACCATTTTGCGAAAAAAAACAAAATATCGAAAAAATCCTACGTGTGTCGATAGCGGTTGAGATAAAGAAACTAACAAAATTTGATTTTTTGTTCTAGATCAAAAATTAAGGACGTTAGGTTTCCGGCCATGGACCCCCTTCAACAAAAAAGGGCCTACGAAGAAATGCTGCACAGCCGCCATTTTGTTTTCGATTTTAAAAAAAAAATGTATTTTGTACTTCGCATATAACATTATAAAACCTACTTTAAAATTGTTCGATTGGCTTTTTCATTTGGCCAAAAAAATTCTAGAAAACCGGTTTGTTTTGCCACTTACTCAGATGTCCCCCCCCCAAGCACATATACCATGGAAGGCAGCAAAAGTAGTCTTAATACCAAAGGAAGGAAGAGGAAGAGAGCCTGACCTGATTCCTGATAAAAACACTGGAACGGATACTAGATATCCGCATAAGAGGAAAAACAGAGAAAAACCTTTCTGATTTACAAAAACAGCACTACACGAAGTAGTGCGATACATAGAAAGGGCATTACTTTTTAAAAATTGCACAATGGCAACCTTCTTTGACATAGGAAGGTAGGAGTTGAAGAAGGCATCAGAGCATAGATTCGCTCAATGCTAACGCGAAGAGGGATAACAGCAAAATTGAGTGACTCATCACACAAGATTTGTGAAGAGGGGCACACCTCTGTCTCCACTGCTCTAGCTATTAAATATGGACGACATATTGAAAGCAGTCGATAGAAAAGGAGTAAAAGTGGTACATACGCATGCGACGTAGTCTTACTCACTTCAGGACCATTCTCCGACGTCATTAGCGAATTAATGACGAGGGCTTAATTCATGGGCCAAGCCAAGCCAGGTAAAATGGAAACTTATGCTCTTCAAAAGAAAAACAAAACAAACAATTCCCAGTCTCAAATAACCACAGATATAGCTGGGACTAACAAAGAAGACAAAGTATCTAAAAGTGATACAGGAAGCGAAGCTCTTGTGGAAAGAAAACATCATTAAAAGCGAGCATTGCGTTCTTCTTCTTCAGGAAGATGTTCGGAAAAAACTGGGGCATTCACAAAAAAAAAAATAATTATACTCTACACAGCAGTTGTAAGACCCATTCTCACATATGGAGCACTAGCGAAAGTAGCCTATAAAATATGGGTGGATATACTGGATACCAATCTAAATTTACTAATAAGAACAAATAAGTGAAAAATATTCAAATACTCAAAACTAAAAATTTGTATTAAGATTATTAAACAAATTTAATAAGACTTAAAACAAACCTCATACATGTACTTATTTTTTCGGCCAGTAGTGTATATCCCCCAAGATGCTGACGAGCTGGCCAGGAAAGGGTCAGAGAAGAGCTCAAATACTGCAGATATTCTAGTTACGCTGAACTCAATCCAGTCGGGACTTCAAGACTATTTCAAAGGAATACCTAGCAAGGAATAGTCAATAAAGAAAGAGTACAAAAGATCGAAACTATGACTACATGAGACGTACAGCAGAGCTTGCCTCCAAGAGCAAAAACGACATCAGAAGGAAAACGGAGCCATTACCGGCCACTGGCTAATAGCCACGCATGCCAATAAGATGGGTCTACCCTTTAGCTCACACTGCAGAAGCTGCAAGGAAATGAGCGAGCAGGAAATACCGGAACACCTATTGGATTACTGCCCGGCATTTAACCAACTAAGGGCGCGTCACTTCGGAGCTCAGAAGCTATGGGAAGTGGGGGAGTCAGTAACTGCTACCCTGCTTACATAAATGAAACGTACTGAGAGGGTGCGCTGACTAACACCAAAACGAGGGTGTGGGTCAAAACTGAGCTCTGCTCCAATTGGAGGTCACCTAGGTTGGCAACCTCACTAATAAAACCTACCATTTAAACGGTTGTTAAGATCTTACTTTCTGCAACCAAATTATTATGTCATTTAAATATCTTTTTTTTTGCCATCCTAACATGTACTAAATCAGAGACGGGCACGAGATCTAACGGTTTTGGCTTGCTACCTGCGCCAAAGGTCAGTGTCGTTGTTTTTGTAAATCTTCACGGTTCGCTGATCGCGAGAACCGAACATCTGGCACGACTTGCTGGCGCCTCCGAAAAAAGATAACGCTTTAAGCAGTGTAAGCAAATTGAGCCACGGCGTGCCCATCTCTGCACTAAATCAATTTTTTTTTTTTCCAGAAAGCAAACAAACTTTGCGAAATCGCGGAAATTGCACCAAAATCTTCATCATAATTAAAAAAAAACTAAGTTTTTTAATATACAATGGGGTTTTATATATTTATATCGATATCTAACTAAAAAAGTTTAATACTACCTATTTTGTCCACATGTGTTTATTCAGTAGCGATCCCGCATAATAAAAAAAAAAAAAAAATACTCACCCTTGATTCTTCAGCAAGCATAGCGTTCATGTCCTGATCTGATATTGGCGACATATCTCGAATGTCGCGATAATACCGATCAACCCATTTTCGATATTCGGGTATATCTTTAGCATATAAAAGCTTCGAACTGGGAGAGTCTTTGCCTGTTAACAAATTGAAAGAATTGTATATAATCAAATAAATTATTTGTAAATGTCTTTACCCAAACGATGATCAGAAGTTGAACAAGAGTCCATAAATGTTTGAGCAACAACTGAAAGGCAGGAGTCCACGATATTCGATTTATGTATGTCGAAGACAAAGTTAGGATTCTTTATTAAGTTTACCCAAAATCTGCGGAATTAAATAAAGAAAATTATTTTAGTCCTTATCCAATTATAATAAAGGAACTTATTAATAATACTTACCTTAATGGCAAACTATTACTTTTCCAGGTATGAACGACCTCAGGATCTGTGATACCGTGCAACTGGGCTTGATCATCTAGAAAGTCAAACATGTATTTTATGGCCAATGGCAATGCCGATCCACGATGTGCAGTGCTGAATATAGTCTCAAAGAGATCATCGACGAATTTCTGCAGTGTGCCCTTAGTTGCCAATAGTCGGGTAAGGTATATTTCCGATACCAATTTATTGACACGTTCACCTTCCTTCTGCATATCACTATCATGGTGCTTCACCAAATGCCAGTATCGCATACCGTTATCATGCAAATCATTATTTAAGGGGCTGCCGGCGCGGCTAAAGGTCGGAGAGGAGGAGGTGTATTTCGATATATTAAGTGTTTCGTACCTATAGACATATTTAAAATATTTTTATTATTAACAACAATTGCATATTGATGTACGTTTATCTTACTTGTGTGATTTCTCGTTTTTGTCCGATAAAATACTAAAGTTGTAAATGGAACTTTGCTTTGGCACTAAACTCAGGCCAGCACCATCAGGGACATTATAGTGCTGCAAAGTGTTCAACTTCTTCCATTCACTCTCCGTTTTCGACGTGACGTCTTCGTCGTATAATATAACACGGCCTGTTGCACCAGTACGCCATTCTATAGAGAAGGAACAAAAAAAATGTAATTTAATTTACTGCCAAATAACCACTATATAGTGCTAACGTATACAAGATTCAAAATAAATGAAGATGTAGCCTTACCCAAATCTAAATCATCTTTCCTCGGTCTTTGGCTAGATGGTATATTTTTATATATAGTTTCCAAACATTTTTCCTTAACCTGTCCAATTGTATCGCAGTCCAAGACTTTAACAGATATATTTTCCGTATGAGATGGCAACATGTCCAAATTATTGCAAAATATTGGCTGTTGAATAATGCTGGCATACACGTTCATTGGCCGGAAATCAATGCTTTGCCTTATTAGTTTCTCCTCGCTAAGAGAGTATCTGGCTTCGTGGGTGCAGGCGTCAACGGGGCCCTTGTCGACTTGTCCCTTAACAGCACGAAATAGCATATATAGAGGCTCTCCTGCACACTCCTTTAAGAACTTATAGAGAAGAAAAGTAAACCAAGCACTCAACATTTTTTCAGCTACACTTTCCGTACGTCGCAGCAACAGCTTTGGATGACTCTTTCCCTCGATGCACTTTTCAATTAAATCTCCGAGCAAGGTCTTAAGGATGTCCGTGCAATATTCCAGTTTCGATTGTAATGTGACCATAATTAGCGAGGCTACATTTACGCGCTCGCGCATGGAAAAGTAGCGATTCGATTCTAGGGTTCGAATAAAGAGCAGGAGAAACGTTTTATTCATAATTAATTGACCGAAAATACGCAAACCCTTTTCTTTGCGTAGAAGCTCCGGTCGTTCCCATTGCAAGACTATGTGATCTTCATGATTGGGAAACAGTATTTTCATGGCATATGAGCGATAATCGAGGAAGGGAATACCGCCAGATGTTAAATCTCCCGTTAAGTCAGTCATTTCCGTTTGAAGTTCAGCAAAGGCTTCCTTACACTCTGCAGCCACTCGCAACTCCAGTATATCCATTTGTTCCTGCATATTTCGCAACACCCGGTTCGATTCAGAGCTCTTCTTTTTATATGCAACAAGCGTGGCAACAAAAAACAGTAATATTATCACAATTGTGGCAATTACTGCGAATACAACGTTGTCTCCCCAGTCCAAAATGATGTTTGAGGACTCGTAACTCAGTATTCCAAGTCGATATTCCAGAGAACTTCCAATGCGAACAATTACCTCGGGCCCGTTAATACTCTTCGTTGCCGTGGCTTCAGGAGGCGGTCTGCACGTAAGCTGTTGCCTAGAAAGCGACGTAATGTTGCAGAAACCATTTCCAATTCTCACTTCTACGTCGCTCTCTTTACATGCCCGATCCAAATTTCTTCCATTTATAGTCAGGTATTCGCTCTTAAAGTACTTGACTCTCTCTTCAAAAACGAAATATTCGGGATTTGGATAGAGTTCGAAGTGGTTGTTGTGAGTTTTTGATAGATTTTGAACACGCAAAACATTGTCCATGAGAAAGCCATACTCCAAAAGCAATGGCTTTTCCGCATCAATAATTAATCTATTGTCTACGTCAATTATGGGTGAAGCACACTCCATTTCGGTGTCGGATTGAACGCGACACTGATTGGCGTACATAACATCGTTGTAAACCACGTAAATATTTGGCGTTTGTATGCTTGTGAATTGCGTGCCAACCACGGAAATTCGTATTCCTCCAGCCGGTATACCCTTTGGCACCTTAATTTGACCACTAGGACCCGAGCTCACATGCTCTACAGTGGGATCAAGGACATATTTAAAGTTGTAGTCATTGAATTCCCTTGGTCCGTTATCAAACGACATCTTTAATCTTCCCTCAATTATGCCAGGGGAAGGTGATGTACGGCATATGGCTTGGGATGAATCAGTGCTTAGTATTTTGCAAGGCAAGTGATCATTAATAGAGGCTTGTATACGAGATCCCGCATTTAAATGTTTGCCGGTAATATGTATCTCTGTGCCACCGGAAGTCGGTCCAAATTTTGGATAAAAATCTAGGATTTTGGGATCGACAAACTCGTAATCATCATTTGATTCGCCACGATAGTCGCCAATTTGTACGACAATTCGGCCATTTCGATACATTTGCTCACCAGGACTATCCACTGTACATACAATTTGTTTAGTATCAATATAAAACTGAGGAAATGGCATACAATTAATGCCGGCAATACGCACTCCGGAGTATATGTCATTATAGTTTTTTCCTAAATTAATGCCACGTATCGTTATGTTGGTCCCTCCTTCCCAGGGTCCAGTTTTGGGCTCGAATGCCTGTATCTCCGGATTTGGACAGATCTCACTGCGGTTCAACCAATCCGTTTTGCCCTCCTTGTTCTTATTATTACATTGTTCTTCGACCTCACAGGTGTTTGTCGAGGAACACCATCCGCAATTGTACTTATCGGACAATGCCAAGCAAATCCCACAGCTATCTGCCATTTCGCGACAACGATAAATGACCACTGAAAATAGGGAAATAGTCAATTATTTATTATAGGCAAAATAAAAATGAAAAGGAATGCCAAATTCTTAGATCGAGTTCTTGTACACTTACCATGTATATTGTGTGGATTATCCAGGGGTTTCGAACCCCCCCATATAACAGCAAATGTAGCAGTCAAGTTAGGCGATCGTGAAGTATACTGGAACTCCATGCTATCACAATAAATGGTATCGCCCAACAATTGGGCATTCAAGCTTGTTACGCGTCCTTCAATGTTAAACTGGCAAACAAATCTAGTTTGAACGATAAACTGTCCTATTATGTGGACTTTAACCTTTATCGATTTACTAGTACCGCCAGCTACGAGAACCTCACTGCCATCCCCCGTGGCATTAATAGTGGGACAAAATCCAGGACCTGATCGGTAACTTGGCCCGATACGGCTGACACCTGTGACCAAAATATCATTGCGACAATTCTCTGCTGTGTCATGAGTGCACCGATGAGCCTCAACACACCAATCGCAGGGAAATTCTGAGGAAACACATCTTGTACACGATGAGTGTGTGCTGCAATCAAAAAATGTGAAATCCGTGGATACCAAGTCCGGGCCGTTCCTAGTTCGCACCGATAATTTTGCTGTGAAATGATGTTTGCCTTGCTCAATCTGAGGGAGCATATCGGTTCGCGGTGTTGTGCAATTAACGCCATTTCTTTTTTTCGTGGCATTTGTAAACAAGGCCTTATCATCGGTGGTAAAAGCACAAATTAAATTCTCCTTTAATTGCGGCAAATGATCTATGATTAACTCTAAAGTGCGAGCAGTGGTTCGTTGCAACTGATGTGGTACAACGCTCGTAATGGTCGTACATTTCCCCGTTTTATAGCTGACCCAATATAAAGGATCGTTGGCATCGTCCTGACAGTTGGAGCGGGGACTACACTTGTTCTCAAGCGAACACCAGCCACAATAGGGGTCTCGAGCTCCTAAACAATCGCCGCACGTTTTGTAGTCAGAACAATCAAAGACCTTCACCTTTGACACCATATTTTCGGACATCACGTATATGTAGAGATTTTGGTTATCAAACTGCATATCCTGGTTTATGGTAGAGCCTTTATGTACAGCAAAATTGGCATATTCATTCGCAACAGAAGATGACTCAACCACAACTTTTTTCAAGTAACCCAAGGCTGTGCCAACAAAGACCACAGTGTAGCCACTGGTGCTCGTGGCTGCAACTGAGGTAAGTCTTGTGTTAAACATGGCTACTGGAACGGAAGTTATAGGATTTTCGCCACCCAAAGGTGAATTCACATCAAGTCCACAAAAATCTTCGCCAATTGTCTGAAGTTTTGTTAAAACGCATGGCATACTTGGTGATATAAAGTCCAGTCCCCTCATTCCACTACCATTGAAACAGGATTTAATATTTTGCATAAATTTCCGACGTATGGATTTCAGTGAGTATATGCACAAAGCTGAATTATTCGTGGGTGTATTGCCGTCGCCCTTAGAGAACACCGCAAACAAAACATCATCTTGTATAGAAATTCCCAAACTTTGAGCTAAATCCGAACTGGGTTTTCCTAGGAAACCAGCTTGAACCAGATTAAATTTGGTGCCACCTTGCGCCTCGCTAATACACTCCACTGGGATCTCAGTGTAAGAATAATAATTTGAATCCTCCTGACATATTCGCACCAATTTTGTTATATATTCCTTTGGGGAAGAGTGATGACTATGCTTTAGCTGTGTGGTTAGAAAGTATGAAAATCTTTCCGAACTAAAGCCATAAACATAATTTACAAAATATGTTTCTCGAGCATAAGAATTTATAAACGTTCGTGTCCCAGTAGTAACCGCCGAAGAAGCTATTTGAAACATCTTAGTTTTTTCCAAAGATCTTGATGCCACAGCTGGAATTTCGCTTCGATATGGAGAATTATTTGTATAGGTAACACCAACATACATTACATTTGTTACAGGATGCTGCGGCGGTCCCGGGGCTATAAAAGCCACAGTCGACGAATTGGCATCATTAGCTACTACTGCATCAGGCACTTCATGCTCCACAATGCTTACATTTTGTAGGTTACGAACGGTGCAGGTACCTTGGAATAATGAACCACAGGCGATGAGTCGCGATGTTGCCCGATCAATTAACAAAACCTTATTATAATTATCCGTTGGGCTGCGCACGGCATTTAAAGGACAGTCGAGGATACTGCACTCCACAGAATCATTTTGTGGCCCCGTCTTTACTGTTTCCGAGAGCTCCAGATCTGGCGATAATTGATAAAGTCTGTTTACTCCACCAACAAAGACGCGTCCAGTGATAGTATCAACCAAGAGATGATTTAATTGCGTATCAAATTGGGCTACATTTGTAATGGTGGTAGTACTTAGATTCTTTGGGTTTGCTATTGTCACATTGTTGGCATCAGTCAAGTTATTGTTATTTTTAAATGCTTCATTTTGCATAGATCCCCAAACATTGGCTGCCTCGATTTGAGAAAAGCTCGATCTTGATCCATATTTATCGCACAAAGTTGCTATTAGCAAACAACTAAGAATAAAATGCATCTCCACTTAAATCGTTCTTCAACTAAGAACGATTCAATATCCACACTCCGAGATGTAATTGCAAACTGGTTCGCAGATAGTTCGATTATGTTTTTGTATAATTGTAATATGTACGTACGTTGGTTTTTTCTTTTATTTTAAATGTACTTGATTTAAACCGCACGCATTATTAATATTATTATTGGCTTGGCTTTCATTATATCCATTTGAGCAGTTTCTATGTTATATGTTGAAGGAACTTAATCATATCAGCAACATAATGTGTCATCTAAAAATAAAAGACATATAGAGGTGTTATATATTTAATTCATAAAAACAAAAAACTCAAAATATTCAAGGAATATGTAGGGGATGAAGAGATTATACTCCAAAACAATATTGTAACATTTAATAACTTAATATGCGTTATATACATATACATAATTCGAAATATGATGCATACATACATTTGCATGCGCTGATACAGAACTCATTCTGTTCATACATACATACTATGAACAATATGTATATATAATACTGTTGTTATCTACCACGCCCTCTCAACCGTCAATAACATTTGCTTTCGAAGGATATTATGCGTTTTATTCATCCTGCGCATAGTTATTTTTGCATATTATTATTTGTACGAGCTACACATTTAAGAAATCTAAAGCATTATTCAGAGACACATGAAATCTTTTAACTTTTAGTTAAATCTTACACTTAATTTACAATTTTAAATGTATTTCGTAAACTTTTAATTTCGTAATTTCAGGATAAATTTTTAAATTGTGTAAGAAAAATTCGGAGAAGCATTTTCTTTTTCTATAACTGGGTTTGGTTTTGGTGATTTTGTATGTATATCTTAATCACTAACACGAGGAAACCCTTCCATTTATAGCCGCTTCTCAAAAATAATGGCATTTACGAATTAAATACACATATTAATACATAAGTACGTATTTAATTTGTATTACATTTTTCTATATCCAATATTATCTTTATTATTTTCGTAATACACACATTGCACACACATTATTGTATGAAATTTAACAGACAGAGATGAGCACAAACTCATTTTAAGATAGACTAGAGCCGGACAGCCACAAACGATAGTATCGATATTTTGAATATTTATTCGAACTATCGAATTCTTTTAGTTTTTATAGTACCAAGTACTTAATTTCGATTTTGCTATTCTGGGATTTTGTGTTAAAAAATAATGATTATCGTTTATTTGGATCTCAAGTATTTTTTACTTCCACACTAGCTATCCCGCAATTTATAAAACAATACAAAATTAGAAAAATTAAGATTTATACAGTCTTCCCACACAGCGCATCTGTGAGGAACGGTTGTGAATTTTCGCAGATGTGAAACTCGTGTTCCCACAGAATAGCGTCAAAGTGCATCTGCATCCGATTACAGCTGATCGATCAGCTGTGGCTCATGAAAACTTAGACAAAGATGGCTGAAGCTGCCGATGTGGGAGTAAAATGAACTATTTAAGCTGTTTAACAACAGCAAATGCACAGACTGCGTCACATTTTATACGCACTAACTTAAAATGAATTAGATGATGAGGAATTTGAGTTTCTCTAATGATTTTTCTCTAACAAAGAACAAATTCCCCGAAGAGTGTGTATATGTGGTATAGGCTTCCCAAATTTATAAAATAAAGTAGATGTATGCGTTTTATATTAAATAGTAGCAAATGGGGACATTTCGGGGCAAGAATATACAAAAAAAAAAACGCCAACAACTGTTTTGGGCATTCTTGTAGCTTTGGCGCCACATTTTAAATCCCATATTTCATTTGTTCCTCGCCAAGTTTTACATTTTCGTAGTGTTGGTCAAATTTTCACTGTTAAGAAGAAGAAATCAGAGTTGCACTGAAAAACTATCGCCTAACAAACCGCGTTTAGATTTAGATGCGTTCTAACCGCGGTACATTTGAGAAAATTCGGAACGGCAAAACCTTATGGGCAGTTAGTTCAACGGACGAATGCGCTTTTACAGTGTGTGGGAAGACCCTATAAAGCCTAGTACCACTAACCATACAACATATAGACTGGTCATTTCATACAACGAAAATGGACACAAAAATTTCCTAACATGCGGTCCCATGTTAACTGTTTGCTGTTAGCGACAGACCGTCTGTTAGATTTTAGCTGTTAGCGTCCCGTCCCATGTTAGCTGTCAGCTGTTTGCGTCAGGCCTTTACATGTATGCGTGTTCATGCATTCACGTACACGGGTGCATGTGTGCGACCATTTCATTTCGGGCCAGCAAGAATATTTGGTCTTTTGCTACTTTTCGCGCTAGGTACCCTAACAATATGGGCATATTCGCTCGACTGCAATATGCCCTGTTCTTATCTCAGTAGATGAATTGTTATTCATTCGAATACATATGTACATATATGCAACACATTTCACTGCTGCCACTGATTTGAATTGTAAACAAATATGAAATGAATGCTGAAACATTTAGAAATATATTATAACATATAACATTCTTATTTGTATCATTAACCCAATAGCGAATATGCCCATATTGTTAGGGTACCTAGCGCGAAAAGTAGCAAAAGACCAAATATTCTTGCTGGCCCGAAATGAAATGGTCGCACACATGCACCCGTGTACGTGAATGCATGAACACGCATACATGTAAAGGCCTGACGCTAACAGCTGACAGCTAACATGGGACGGGACGCTAACAGCTAAAATCTAACAGACGGTCTGTCGCTAACAGCAAACAGTTAACATGGGACCGCATGTTAGGAAATTTTTGTGTCCATTTTCGTTGTATGAAATGACCAGTCTATATGTTGTATGGTTAGTGCTAGTACTGACGACGAAAATGTGCTGTAACAATGTTATAGCACAATCGGTATATATTTTGCTCGGTAACCAGTCTGACCAATGAAATTTAAGAAAAGCCATGAAACGCCATGAAAATTACACTTTTCCTTAATTTCTTTGCTCACACTAGACAGCTGTTTATAAACAAAGTTGTTAATAAAATTGGCATTAAAATGCTCTTTGTGGGTTAAATCCCATTTTATGGGCTTCGCCTAGACAGCACTTATCTGTGCCACTTTTTTCCTTCAACTTTCCCTCCATTAGGCCTGTAAGAATAAATGAAATGAATTAATGTTATACCACGATATCAGCTGTTTACTCCTTTGATCCGGCAACGCCATTCAATTTTCGCAGGCACCATTTTCGTCGTCTGAGTACCCGCAAAAACGACGAGGGAAAAAGCTCTTCTTCTTAACACATGTACAGCGGATTTTCGTCGTCGGAGTACTAAAGTGTATGTGTATAAATCCCGAAGGTGAAATAGCCCCGACGGAAGAGCATAGAATTATATTTTAAATGTAGGAGCGTTCGATTCAGGTACGTGAATTCCTCGCTTGCCGCTTTCCTGAATTGGGAATCATTCCTAGAGCCTTCCCCGATCCACATCTATTTTATCCGGAGTGTTTTACCGCGAGAAGCAAAGCCCGACTGGCGCGTGATCAATGGATGCCGGTATAATTTCATGGAAGAAGCAGCAGGGGAAAGAGCAATTGTGATCTTACTGGACATTTTTTTAAAAGATCAGAATCAACTAATTCGATTGAATTTCGCCACGATTGTAAAATGAAAACTATCGAATCGTCATAAAAATCTACAAAGTACCTTATACTGTCTTTCCACAGAGCGCATTTGTGAGAAACGTTTGGGATTTTTAAAAAAAGTGAAACTCGTGTTCCCAGAAAGCTGCGTTAAAGTGCATCCGCATCCGAACAACTGATTGATCAGTTGTGGCTCATGAAAACGTAAACAAAGGCTTTCGAATTGGCTGTTGCAAATTTGAAATAAAAAAAAAATAAACAAGAAAGGAAGCTAACTTTGGCAGACCGAAGTTTGTATACCCTTGCAGATTGGTTTTGATGTTTATATTATAAATTTAAATGCTGAAAACACTCACAAAACAGAGTTTCATTACATTTTACTTATACTTATTATGTTTACAGTTTGACAGTTACAGTTTTACATTCCCAGCTTTACATTTTCTCCACATTTACAGATCGTTTATATGACAGCTATATGATATAGTTGTCCGATTTTCATAAAATTTTTACCAAAATTCTGAAATAATAAAAGAAGCTTATATCTAAAAGTAGATAAGAATATGTTGAAAAACAACGAAGTTATAATTTTTTTCCTATTCTTTTTCCGATCGTTCCTATGGCAGCTATAAGATATAGTCGTCCGATTTTCATAAAATTTTTACCAAAATTCTGTAATAATATAAAATGGCTATATCTCAAAAATGATGCAAAAATATTGAAAAACAGCCAAGTTATAATTTTTTTTCTAAAAATTTATCGAACATTTGTATGGGAGCTATAAGATATAGTCGTCCGATCCGGCCCGTTCCGACATATATAGCAGTGAGAGTATATAGAAGACTATATGCAAAGTTTCATTCAGATAGCTTTAAAACTGAGGGACTAGTTTGCGTAGAAACAGACAGACGGACAGATGGACAGACGGACAGACGGACATGGCTAGATCGACTCGGCTGTTGATGCTGATCAAGAATATATATACTTTAAAGGGTCGGAAACGTCTCCTTCACTGCGTTGCAAACTTCTGACTGAAATTATATTACCCTGCAAGGGTATAAAAATAAAATAAATATTGAAACCAACTATTTTGGCTGTTGTACAACAATGAAATGAAATGAATTAGATGACGAGAAATTTGAGTCCATCAGGCCTGCTCCGGTAATCGTAAAATTTTGTCGATTTCGTTTTGAGCGAAAACGAATCGTTTTCGTATTTAGCTGCTCCGGTTTTCGGCAAATTTCTTCTATCGGAATGTTTCGTTTTCTCATCGTTTCTTTCTGCTCAAGCAGTTGACTTGTTCTTTTGGTAAAAAGCAAACAACGTAAAGAACTGCCTTTTATATTTACAATTGCCCATTTTGAAGCCGGGAAAAGGCAAAAAATTAATTCCGGCCAGAAAAAGGTGCCCGTTTTTCAAATCGAAAAAATCTTTCATTTTCGATTACCGGAGCACCAATTTCTCGTTTTCAAAAACGAAAACGAAAAAATCTTGCCATTTTCGATTACCGGAGCAGGCCTGCATATTTCATATTTCCATATCTCATTTGTTCCTCGCCAAGTTTGTTTACATTTTCGTAGTGTTGGTCTAATTTGCACTGTTAAGCCTAGTAAAAATTAAGGAAAATCCTGAAATGCCATGAAAATGTACTTTTTATGGCGTTTAAGGATTTTCTTTGGTCACACTGGACAGCTGTTTGTAAACAAATATTCAAAAAAAATATTAAAAATATTAATAAATATGGCATTAAAATGTCCTTTGTGGGTTAATTTCCATATTATGGGCTTTCCCTTGACAGCCCCTATCAATGCCACCTTTTTCCTTCAACTTTCCCTCCATTAGGGGTGTCTAAATAAATCAAATGAATTATTTAGACAGCGCGATATCAGCTGTTTACTATCTTGATCTGGCAACGCCATTCAATTTTCGTAGGCTTCATTTTCGTCATCAGAGTACCGGAAAAAACGACGTGGCTAAAAGTTCTTCTTCTTCTTTTTTCGACACCGTTTTTTTTATATGGAGTTTGGCCGCTGTCTAAATTTATACAGCGGATTTTTCTCGTCAGAGTACTAGGCTTTAAGAAGAAGAAATCAGACTTGCACTGAAAAACTATCCCCTAACAAACCGTGTTTAGATTTAGATGCATTCTAGCCGCGGTACATTTGAGAAAATTCGGAACGGCAAAACCTTATAGACCGTTTGTTCAATGGACGGTGTATGCGCTTTGACGGTGTGTGGGAAGACCCTATTAGGTGAAGATGCTGGTAGATACAACGCGATGCATTAAACTACCAGACAACTTTTGATTCAGAGTATTTTTACGTGCATACAGTATAATTACTTGAATAATAACGGGCTTAGTCATTGGGCGATTTTAACAGCCAAAAATGTTGATGACGAAATTAACTTCCAGATACAACAATTGTTACCAGGCAATCTGATTTCTTTTAAATCAATCGATGAATCAATTGATGAAAATGAAAGTGTAAATTTTCCAACTGAATTTTTAAATTCACTATATATACTACCTGGAATGCCACCACATAATCTTAGATAATCCATAATCTGTTTGAGTTAGCTAAAAACAGGTTAACCAAAAATATTGTGCACCGATTAGTGCTGAATCAAATTTAAATTAAAAGTAATTAAATAATTTTATTTAAATAATAATTTAAATAATAAATATTACTGTTAAAGATTTAAGACTATCGCCTTACCTACCTCATTCATAAGTTTAAGTGTCACATGTTATTTACTAAGAATTTTGTAATATACACAGCAGCAAGGTGTGCCCGGGTCTTCTAGTCATTAATATATGAAAACCAACATAATATATATATATATATTTATTACACTTAAACATTTATGTACGATTTTTATTAAAGTTGTCTTAAGAACATCATGAGACACTTCATTTGTATACGAATTCTGAAATTTTACATTTATTTGTTCTCTAAACATAAATAAATGATATATATAATTTATAATTTACATTAAAAGGATTATTGTTAGGGATGAGTTCTTTAATTGGATGAGATGTTGGCGGATATTGTTTTTTCAAATTCGTTGCAATTTTTCCTGATTTTCTTTCGTAATAATAATAATAACAATAATCAAATCAAGTCTGCTTAAGTAATTTTAAAAAATGTTTGAAATCAGTTTTTTATTAAAAATATCATTTAATTATATTAATTATACATACTGTGTGTATACAAATAAAAATATCTGCTGATTATAAAATATATCATTTTTATTTCGAAATAAATTGCACAGCTATAATGGAAATAATGTAAATTAAAATATCTGAAAATGTGAAATATAAGTACACAAAGTAATATAATATTTTGAAGCTTTCTTTTTACCCTTGCATTACATATAATTTTAGCAAGAATTTTATTCGCTCTGTCCCTTTGTCCATCTTATTTTTTTTAGCTCGATCGTGTCGACTCAATCGCAAACTGCAAGGGTTTAGCTTGTTTTTTTTTCTTTATTATTTCTGCACTTTTATATTATTTTTAAATTTGGGTAAAAGTTGGCAGCAAATGATTTTGCAGTAGATGACAAGTACGATGAAGATGGTGATGATGATATGGGTACTATAAGACTTTGGCCGATTATATCCTTACTTTCTCCCGCACCTTTTCCGCCACTTAAACTCAGATATTTTAATGAACAGGGCATAATAGTTGAACTATTAACATCTGGTGGGCAATCGTTGCTATTGTTTGAAGCATAGTTTTCTTCTTTTGCTACGAAATGTGCTTTTGACAATATTTTTGGAGACAAAGTTATGATTGACGATCACTGAAGACGCGGCCAGTAATTACTTCCGGTTAAATCAGATACATTTTGCGTTGAAATTTGTACGGGGACTGAAACACCAGCAGAAATGACACCTGTAAAAACGCTTACTTATTTAATGTTTACTAAAAAATTTAATGTAAATTATTTTGTTACCTGTACTTGATGACGGCATTGCAGTGCTATTGCCATAAACACTATGCTGAGGTGGCTGTTGATGCGCCGCGGCAGGATTACAACTGGTATTTCGATGGTGGGGTGGAGCATATGGGGATCCTAGCGATAAGGGATCGTGAAACATATAGGGATAGGCATCTCGTTGTTGCAAACAGGTAGGCGTCATCGAGCTTAATGATGAACTGTGAAAATTATAAAATAAGTTTAATATGTTTAAAATAAGCCAGGATATAAAATCAAAGTAGAAGGTAGCATTCAAATGAAAAAAGCTTTTAAAATTTGATTTAACCCACAAAGGGCATTTTAATGCCATATTTATTAACAAATTTGTTTACAAACAGCAGCCCAGTGTGACTAAAAAAAATAAAGAAAAGCATTAAACGCCATAAAAAGGTCCATTTTCATGGCGTTTCATGGCACAAAATATAGCGATTGTGCTATAACAATAGTTACAGCGGATTTTCGTCGTCTCAGTACTTGGTTTTATGTAAAAACTACTGTACTTTTGTTGATTTTCCCTCACATACACTCTCTTTCCCTCTCTCTCGCTCTTTGGAAGATATATGATATTCGATCTTATAGTAATTCCATTTAAATAACATTACAAAAACATTTTTATGTTTTATTTTCAATCGTATACGATAACTATGAATATCATATCTTAGATTATGCATAATAAATACCTTATACGGTCGAAAATGCGATGCAAACTTCTGATTAAGATTAAAACTCACTTGTAATTTTCTGCAATTGTTGCAATTGGTTGCGGAATAGATGAGTACATGGCATTAAATCCACTATTTAAGGGTATCCGTGGTGCTACTGCTTGAAGTGGTGGACTTTCAGAAGTCGTATGCGTATTGGCGTCACCTCCGAGAACCTATTATATAGTTATAATTATATTATATATATATATCTAGACAGTCTCTATATATACTTACGGTTGGTGCACTTGTTGTTGTCTCGGAAAGGTTATTGCTAATTATTGCTGACGACGATGCACGCTCCGAACTGTTGACTGCTAAGCTACCAATACCAGATGGGGAATTATTTGACGTGACAACGGTGGCTGATACCGATGCTCCCGTTCCCGAAGGATTATTATTATTTTGCCCTGTGCTGCCTCTTCCACTTCCAGCATTTTCCGTCGGCCTTCTCTGTGTTCGCATTTTTTCTTCCCGTCGCCATTTAGCTCGTCGGTTGGAAAACCAGACCTTCAGACGTTAGAAGATTGAATTTTATATAAATTTGCTTAAGATGCAGTAATATTTATTTGCCGTAAAAGCTAATGGAAAATAAATAATGAACGAAATTAAAACTCTTGTACTCAAAAAAATATTCGTTTCAGTAGTATATACTGTTTAAAATAATAACGAATAAAACATTATTTATATTAAATCTTTCTTCCAGCTTGGCCATAATAGTCATCCAAAAATAGCAAAATTCTCTAATTACACAGGTCGACAGAATGTAAAGTGGTTCTGAAAGATTTTCTGCATTGCTAACTCGAATACGAAAGGTCTCCATCCCGTACGAGTTTTGAAAAAAATCTCGGTCTGCTTGTTTTGGCACTTTTCAAATCCTAGGCATAGGGTCTTCCTACACACCGTCAAAGCGCTTCCAACGTCCGTTGAACAGATTGCATTTAAATTTAACGACCGTTTGTTGGTGACAGTTTTTCAGCTCGCCTCTGATTTCTTCTTCTTAACAGTGAAAATTTGACCATTCACATTTCTCCGCCTATACTTTTTTTTCAAGATTTTGGAAGCCTATACCACCTATACACACCCTTCGGGGCATTTGCTCTTTGTTAGAGAAAAATCATTAGAGAAACTTAAATTCCTCGTCATCTAATTCTAGTTGATAAACTGTTCATTTTACTCCCTTATCGGCCGCATCAGCCATCTTTGTTTACGTTTTCATGAGCCACAGCTGATCGATCAGCTGTAATCGGATGCAGATGCACTGAGTTAGAAGACAGTATTAAACGATAGCCAGAAGATATTGGGCTTAAGTAAAAGCCAATTTGTTTTTACTTTAAAGCCTAGTACTCTGACGACAAAAATCCGAAACATGTGTAAAAAAAAACGGTGTGAAAAAAGGAAGAAGAAGAACTTTTTCCCTCGTCTTTTTTGCGGGTACTCAGACGACGAAAATGATATTTGCGAAAATTGAATGGCGTTGCCGGATCAAAGGAGTAAACAGCTGATATCGTGGTATAACATTAATTCATTTCATTTATTCTTACAGGCCTAATGGAGGGAAAGTTGAAGGAAAAAAGTGGCACAGATAAGTGCTGTCAAGGCGAAGCCCATAATATGCGACTTAATCCACAAAGGGCATTTTAATGGCATATTTATTAACAAATTTGTTCACAAACACCTGTCCAGTGTGACCAAAGAAAAGCATTAAATGCCATAAAAAGTTCATTTTCATGGAGTTTCATGGGTTTCCTTATTTTTTTTGGTCACACAGGTTACCGAAAAAAATATACAGCGATTTTGATATAACACATATTACAAAAGAGCCACCAATCAGTTTCATCCGTTATATTGTTTTTTCTGAACTTCCCTTTGGCCCATATATTTGCTATGTTGTAGCCCTGAAATTAAACAAAACAAGAAAGGAAGCTAACTTCGGCACGCCGAAGTTTGTATACCCTTGCAGATATTATTCCATTACATTTTACCTATATTATTATGTTTACAGTTTGACAGTTACAGTTTTGCATTCCCAGCTTTACATTTTCTCTACATCTACCGATCGGGTTATATGGCAGCTATATGATATAGTTGCCCGATTTTTATGAAATTTATACCAAAATTCTAGAATAATAAAAAAAGCTTATATCTCAGAGTAGATAAACATACATTGAAAAACAACGAAACTATAATTTTTTTTCCTATTTATTTCTCGATCGTTCCTATGGCAGCTATATCATATAGTCGTCCGATTTTGATAAAATTTTTACCTAAATTCTAAAATAATATAGAATGGCCATATCTAAAAAATGTTGCAAAAATGTTGAAAAACATCAAAGTTCTAATTTTTTTTCTACAAATATATCGAACATTTGTATGGCAGCTATATGATATAGTCGTCCGATCCGGCCCGTTCCGACATATATAGCAGTGAGAGCATATAGAAGACTATATGCAAAGTTTCATTCAGATAGCTTTAAAACTGAGGGACTAGTTTGCGTAGAAACAGACAGACAGACAGACGGACAGACAGACAGACGGACAGACGGACAGACAGACAGACGGACAGATGGACAGACGGACAGACAGACAGACGGACAGACGGACATGGCTAGATCGACTCGGCTGTTGATGCTGATCAAGAATATATATACTTTATAGGGTCGGAAACGTCTCCTTCACTGCGTTATAATACCCTGCAAGGGTATAAATATAAATATCTAACGCCTCTGTTCATTCTAGTGTTTTTGTGTATTTATCTTATCCGTGTTCCATACCGACTAGCTAAACAGACAATCGAAACCGTATAGGAATCACTTTCGCTCTCACAGGGTTGTGAAAAACAGCCAAGTTATAATTTTTTTTCTAAAAAATAAATAAAAGTCGTCCGATCCGGCCCGTTCCGACAATATAGCATTGAGAGTATATAAAAGACGTTTCGTTCAGATAGCTTTAAAACTGAGGGACTAGTTTGCGTAGAAACGGGCTTACGGACACCCGGACATGGCTAAATCGACTTGGCTCTTGATGCTGATCAAGATTATATACTTTATATTTTTGACTGAAAATATAATACCCTGTAAGGGTTTAAAGCCAAATCGATTATCGAAATTTGGCTTGCTTTGCTGAATGCTCTTTCTGACTCAGTCGAGGTGGCGGGCGGCTTAAATATTTCAAAGCGCACTGCGTGAGATTGCCGAACTGCACGTTTTGTTTCTATAAGTATTGGCGTAGTTCGATGCATCAGATCTGATTCTCTGAATGTTCTGCACATCTCTAATGCTACAGCTTTAGCTCATTGTCCAATGCTGCCTTGCTCCGCATTTGTTGGATTGTGGAATCCTTTCTAGAGATGCAAAAACATCGATGATGGAAAAAATACATCGATTTTTTGCCTTATCAAAAACATCGATACTATCGATAGTGACATGGATGCGGAAATGGGAGATCGCGGAGGGCTCTGTTTCATTACAGGATCGCATCTTGGCTTCTTAGGAAGACAGAAACAACCATAAAACAAACAATTAAACAGTTTTATGCAAATCAATAAGTATTTAGTATTGTATTGAAAATGTAGGCCCGCCGCTTGCTAAATGCGTTCAGCACTTTCACTTACATTTCCTATACAAGTTTCTTGATCAGGTTACCCCAATAAGATCTTGCAAACTTTGCTCTGGATACGGCAAAGAGGCTCGCTATAGTGCGGTATTTCGCAGAGGAGCCCAAGGCGAAAATTTATGTTGCTCCATTACTAGTATTATCAGGCTTTCGTCGTTGTTCATTTTTGTATTTTTTTTTTGTTTCCAATATCTTTTAACTAGCTGTCAAAAACTAACGCAATAACTCGGGTTAATGTAGTATAAACATGCTTCTAGCGTTTTTGCGTTAATTTCGATTTCGATATGTAACTCAGGTCGGTGTAAATATACTATTAGAATCATTTATGAAATTTAGAAAAATAAATACATAGATAGTCCAGATGTTTAAATTCTCATAGAGCCAAATATGGCTTATTATTTTCCAAAGAAAACATCTTTCTTTCCAAGTAACTTTAGTCACGCTGTCAACGTGCTTTGCAATTAGAAGACACCCTACATAATGCGGTTTTATACATAAGGCAAACTTATTGAACTTCTAGCAAAAATTACACAAAGGGGTGAAAATACAGATTATAATATTTCTCACAATGACATTTATAGCTGAGAGATTGTTGCCGTTTCCACTTCAGTTTGAAAATTAACCCCTGTTGCTTAAATTCTCGATTCGCGCCCCAGTCAACAAGAATTCAAGGAGTATTTCAAGTATTTTTACAGTCAAATTGTTTTTATTCACTTTGTACAAATAATCAAGAGCCGTAACATCGATAAAAACATTTTTGTAATGAACTTGCCCAAACAGTGCTATATGGGGGTGAAGTGAATAATGATAAGTTTTGAGGGTGACTTTTGAAGTGTTTTTCTCTCTTCTTCCTTTTTTCGTTTGCTAAAATATTGCTCTTGGAGTTAAATTGTAATTCCTAACGTCGCGAAATACATTACCCACATCTAAAATTGTTAATGCCGTTTCTTAAAGGTTATTGGAAAAAATAATGTATATTACAATATATTCCTGTTTTTACTTTTTTAGAAATACATAAGTTAAAAAACTACTGATTTTGAAAGTTCCCTATACGACTAAATTACAAAAATATTTAATATGTCGCAGATATATTCTGCCATAGCAATAGGCAGCCAAAAATTTTCAAACTAAACCCCTCCTCCATAATTGACCTGTGTTATGGAGGAGGTTAAGTTGTTCGAAAGGTACGGGTCATTTAATAAGTAACTTTGTTTGTTTCCAACTTTGTAGAAACAAATGTTTTTGGTTTGTCTCTCTAATCATTTAGTATTACTCAACCTTTAACTTAAAACATCAAGAAGAATTTTTTCAAAGGGTAATTAAGTTGAGAGAAAATTTAAAAACATCAAATAGCCATATCTTTATGATAACTTGATAGGCTAATTCTGACAACGGACACTACGCAGAAAATTACATCGAAAATGACCCCCGATATTTGTAGACCTGTGTAATCATAAATGTTGTTTTTTACAATTAAACGATATAGGAGTGCAAAACATTTTTCTGTACGAACTCTATAGCCAGCACCTTGGCATATTAAAATCCGCCTTACCGTTTCACTATGGTTTTTTTCGCGTTTTTTTTGGCATAAACTCTAATTTTAAACCTATTGATCTGAAATTTGGTTTGTATACATTTTTTAAGCTTCTATGATGACCTACCAAGTTTCAAATGATTTGGGGCACTATTTCATATAGCTGCCATATAACCTATCTGGCCGATTTGCACCAACTTTTTTGTTTTTGAAGCTTTTGCTTTGAAATTTTGTTTGTATACATTTTTCAAGCTCCCAAGATGACCTACCAAGTTTCAAGTGATTTGGTTATATTTTAACAAAAAAACTTTTTTTGGCGAATCGGCCAGATCTGTTATATGGCAGCTATATGAAATAGTGCCCCAAATCATTTGAAACTTGGTAGGTCTTCTTGGGAGCTTAAAAAAGGTATTCAAACGAAATTTCAATACAATAGGTCTAAAATTGGAGTTTATAGCAAAAAAAAACGGAAAAAAAACCATACTGATATGGTACTAGAAAATTTTGATTTTTTTCGAAAACGTGTGGATTTGGACAAAAACGGTTAGTTTCTCATTAATCTGCACACTTTGGTTAATAGTTTCTCATTTACAACTTTTTGCAACTCTTTGCCATGCAAAAGTACTGATCCACGAAACACAGCTACACTTGTTAAGCTCGTTCTAAAAATACACGTAAACAAAAGACGGTACAATTGGACAAAAACACATAACAACGACAGAAACATTGGTAAACTTTAATTTTTAGATACCTGGACAATCGTTTTCCATATTTATTCATTTAACTTCTTCGTAAACTTTTGCCACAACAAACTATCAAAGTCGCACAATTTTTCGCGCCAATTTCATACAAAACAACTGCTACATAATCAGCTGACTTTAACAGCTGGCCAGCAGAACAGTGTTGCTCCATATGTTAAAGTTACATATTTTTTTTATCTATCTAGGGTGTTTAAAAATTAAAAATAAAAAAAATTTTAAGATACATAAAAATAAAAAATTTGACTTTATGCCAAAAAAAAACGCGAAAAAAACCATAGTGCGTTTGTCTAGTCCCTCAGTTTTGGAGGTATCTGAATAAAACTTTGCAGATAGTCTTCTGGCTGTTCTCACTATCGCGATTATATCATATAGCTGCCATTTTGTTTTATTTCAGAATTTCGTTTTGATTTTATGAGAATCGGGCAAATATATCATATAGCTCCCAAAGGAACGATCAGGAAATTAATTTAAGTTTAGCTGTTTTTCAACGTATTTATTTTCATGTAATTTGAGACATGGCAATTTTCTATTATTTGAAAATTTCAGTTTTAATTTTATGAAAATTGGATGACTATATAATATAGTTACAATTAGAACAATCTGTAGATTTAGAGAAAAAATTTTAACTATAAATGTTTTTACATTCAGTAATTGTAAAACTGAATATATTTGTATTTGTTAATATAATAAAAGTTGATATAACTTTGCTTTTGCTCAGCAAATATATTTATGATTTTAATTATATTAAATATTTTAAATCTGAAATATGGTGTTCAAAACTAATCATCAAACGTAATCATATAAGTTATATAATAAAAATTAAATAATAATTTTTATGTTTAGATTTGATTATTTTATTTTTAAAGATAATCAGGTAACCGTGAGTAAAAAAATTAAATATTTTCGATAAACATTTATTTTTATTAAAAAATAAAAACTCAAAAATTATGATTAAAAAATTTTGCTCAAAATAAAACTCAACCGTAGTTCACGAGTTCCGGTTTAGACTTTTCGCCGATATTATTTCATATACTTGTATAATGACCACAAAGCTACCCTACAATACCAATGTTTATAAATATTGATGCATGGTAATAGGACAAAGATGTTTCATTTAGTAACTTATTGGAGCAGGTGTAATTATAAAACCTTTACACATAAATCGGTTAAAACATAAATAAAAAAGGCTTGCACATATTTAAATGCCTGAATATTTGGAGAACAACTTTAAAAACAAATTTATGTATATGTTACAAATGTTTTATTCTTTACGTTTTTAAATCGGTTTAACCGTATTCCAATTCAAAAAACACATTTACGTACATAGTGGTCTTTTTCACGATTCTAGTAATACCCCAAACTAATGAAAACTTCAGTTTCTACAAATTTTCATTCCTAAAAAAAGGATTTTCTGAAATTGATGGAGCAAATCCAATTTCCTTGTCCTCCAATATTATGGAGTATTGGGAGGAAAAGAAATATCTGTTTCCAAACTTATGTATATCAGCTGGTCAAGATGGTGCACCTGGTTTCTGCAACACAAGTGAGCGTTGAAAGGGCGTTTTCGGCTCTTAAAATAATTCCTACGGACTAAAGAAGCAACATCGCCAAGTCTTTAGAAATATTACTATTTGTAAAATTAAATAGCACTTAATTAAACAAACATGTCAACAGAATTCTTTAACGTTTTGAGCCTATAGCAATGACTTTCACAATTTGTTTAAAATATCAGTGCATCAACATATACATATATTAAAAACATATACATATATTAAAAATATGAGGGAAAAGGAAAGTTTGGAAAAATCCATATAATTGTTGAATCTGAGGTCCCTTATTGGGGGCTTAAATATTAAACAGGAAAGGTAAAGCTTTTATTTAAGCCCAATATCTGCTCTGCTATACGCACGATTTTCTCAAAGTTGGTAGGTGATGGAAACTTTTTGTTATCGAATTTGGAAAGTACAGGACCAAGATTTTTCAGAATTTTTTCGGTTCGGTAATTTTTATACCCTTGCAGGGTTTTATAATTTCAGTCAGAAGTTTGCAACGCAGTGAAGTAGACGTCTCCGACCCTATAAAGTATATATATTCTTAATCAGCATCAACAGCCGAGTCGATCTAGCCATGTCCGTCTGTCCGTCTGTCTGTCTGTCTGTTTCTACGCAAACTAGTCCCTCAGTTTTAAAGCTATCTGAATGAAACCTTGCATATAGTCTTCTATATACTCTCACTGCTATATATGCCGGATCGGACGACTATATCATATAGCTGCCATATTTAATTAATTTTAATTAATTTTTAGAAAAATATTATAACTTTGCTGTTTTTCAACATTTTTGCACAATTTTTTAGATATTGCCATTTTATATTATTTCTGAATTTGGGTAAAAATTTTATGAAAATCGGACTAGATATAGCTGCCACAGAAGCGATCGGTAAATAAACAGAATATGAAAGGCTGGGAATGTAAAACTGTAAATGTAACTTCGGCGTGCCGAAGTTAGCTTCCTTTCTTGTTTATTACTAGTGTTATTATACGAAACAAGAATTTGAAAAACATTTGGCGAAAACATAACTAAATTAAATTAGGCGGGCAACTGGGACGCCATACAAAGAAAGTAAAAGAACCTAAATTCGTAGAGGAATATAATTTTTACAAACGAGTGTATTTTCTATGGAAGGTGTAAACTATAGCTATAACTATATAAACTAAATTTCGATTATAAGGGTTTAAAAATTACTCCTTTACAGAGTTGTCAACTTTTTGTCTATTATGCCCTGGAAGGTAGTAAAGCATATATGGCTTCTCATACATATATGCAATATATTTTAAAGAACATATAAAAGGAATTACAAAAAAGCAGAGCTAAAAACAGAAGATAATCGAACAAAACTGATAGACAAACCTGAATACGTGCCTCTGGCAAACCAATTTTATCTGCAAGCCTTTCTCGGGCAAAAACATCCGGGTAGTGTGTTCGTTCAAATTCTGTAGAATAGTTTAAATAAAAATGTTTAAATATAAGAGAAAAATATATTAAACATTTTATTACAAAGCTATAGTTCTTTTTGATTAATAGGCAGTACAGACAATTACTTTCTCTGACAGATGATTACGTAATATATTTTATAGTTTGGAGTTACCTTTTTCCAAACTATCAATTTGTTCATTTGAAAATGATGTTCGATTTCGTTGCAATTTTCTTTTTAGCCTTAGTCGCATTTGCGAGTCCTCGTCACCCGATGAATTATGATCAGAATTGCCATCGGACGTACTATCATGGGAGTTTGGATGAGATACGTCCGCAGAGTATTGTAAATCTAAAATCATTAAAAATTTGTAAATGTAAAAACGTATGTAGGTTAACAAGGAATAAAAAGCATATCGATTTTGCGTCCGACCATTTCATTATTAGAACACTCGGCTAAGCGTGGTTGCTTTGGCTAGTATTTGTGACGATAGGGAAACAATCAAGATTAAAGTAATTGATATAAACAGGGACAGAAGCGCGGTGGATGTTTTTATTTTTATTTGTAAACGCACATATGCTAGGCCAATTCATCGATTAAACACAAACAAAAACCGCCCGAGTGAAAAAGAAACATATAAAAGCAAATAGCTTTATTCAATAAGACTTAATGGCAAATAACACAAATGACCAACAAATTAACAATTAGTTCCGCCCTGCTGTTTGATCATCTGTGAAAAACTGCATCGATTTAAGATGCGTACGAAGAGAAGAGAATAGGGAGGTTTAAGTAGTTCAAACTATACAACAATTCTTACGCAAATTGGTCAAGGTCCGTTCCCAACATTCAACTAATATTTTTTGACTTAATTTAACAAATTTATAATGTTTTTAGTCAATATAATGTAAAAATATTATATTTATGTATATTCTTGATCAGCATCAACAATCGTCCGTCCGTCCGTCCGTGTGAAATAACCAAATAATAATTTACCTCTTTTCTGGATATCCTCTCGATTAATTTGTCCAGATAAATTTGTGGGGGTTGATACTGACACTGATGATGTCGCTGGTGGTAATGCTAAATGGGCCGTCGTTGTATTACTTGGATACCAGGCCCATCCACCGGTCTGGCCATTAAACATTCGAAGCTTCTCATAAACTGATTCACTTTGTTGCTGCGCCTGCTGCTCCTTTTGAGAGGCTAAATTCCGTAATACTCGATTTATAGATGAAACCTACCAAGTTAACATAGCATAAAAATTATATTACAAAATATGGAACATATATTTTATAAAGATATAAGATATAGTAATAATCCACAGTTTAATTATCAAATAGCTTTAAGTCAAAGTAAAAGATCTACTACGGAACAGATGCACTACCGCTTAACCAACCCTCTCTTTGTTTATTACCACGCAATTGGCTGGCGACCATTTTCACCAATCAGCGAATCCAAAAGCGAGAAAGCTATATAAGTATATGTATGTAGATGTAAAATAAACTTGTAGTTGTCCCACTCTTTTTTCGCCAGCCTATTCACAAAATATACATACGCAATTGCAGTTGCGGTCAAGCTTATAGGTAAATTTATTTATTATTTAATTAAATTTTAATAGTAAAAAAACTTTTATTTTCGTTTTGATATTTCTAATATTGTACAAATACATATATAAATCAAATATATAAATATATATGCTGAACAAAAACAATGTAATAACCCTTTCATTACATTTACTCATACATAATATATTTACAGTTTTACAGTGACAGTTTTACATTCACATCTTTTAATTTTTCTTCACATCTACCGATCGCTCCTATGGTAGCTACATATATGAATAATTCGATTTTTATAAAATTTTTTAATAATACAAAATCGTAATATCCAAAAGTAAAAGATAAATATATGAAAATTTTGTAGAAAAAATAAGAACTTCGTTGTTTTTGTCATATGTATTTTTATTTGCAGTGACATATATATGGCGATTTTGTATTGGAATATTGTTGAAAATGGCATTGGCTAAAGCTTAGTGTAGATAAAAATATGTTGAATACCAGTTTTAATAATTTTTATTTACTCTGATCTGGCGTGTTCCGCCTTATTTATATACGCGTAATAGTTGGAATTCGATAATGAAAAAAAAAATGTTTGGTTTACATGTACATGTACATATATCCCCCTTAATGAAAATACTGTAACGAAAGCCGCCCAAAAGAGCTTTCCATCCTCGAGGCAGTACGGCAACGCGAGAAGCTGCGCGATAATGAGTTTTGACGACACAGATCTCAAAACGAGCTAAGCTGCGCGATTCCGATAACTTGACAGCCAGGATGTCTGGTCTCTCTCTTATTCTCTTGTTCTTAATCCCGATTTCCGCCGATTTTGGCGAAAATAAAGAAAAGCTTCGAAATACACCCGAAATACGCGTGTGCTTATTGAGAGGCTAAACGGGGAAGTTGGCACTGCTGAGTTCTTGGCCGCCATACCTTCAAATAAAAGTTCCGCTCGGCTTTCCGTAGTGAACTCGGCCGGCACCTCTACTCCCGCGTCCGAGATTCGTTACAATACATATATTAGAAAACTAGGAAAGATGTTTTCGGTAATGAGGGTCTTGCGCTGCAAAATTAATTTAAGCAAGAAAGTAAGCTAACTTCGGCACGCCGAAGTTGGTATACTCTTGCAGGTTGCAGTTGACTTAAAAGGTACAAATTCTAAATAATTTCACACCGGCTCTCGCTTCTGTTTTCGGACTCGAAAGTCATCCACGAGGGATGAGCCTGTTCGCTTATGCTGGATTTTCCCGTACTAGTGTGGCCAGCCTCCGTTGGGTCCAGTGTGACCAAAACTTTCTAATCTTGTTCCTATTCTTTATCCCAATTCTTATTATTATATATTTGTGAGCATATGTGCGTCACAAAATTTAGTAGAGAAATATTAATTTGTTTCATTTTTGAGATTTGCACATTCAAAGTAACAAAAGAAATATTTAGGACAAAAAAAGAAGACTATATGCAAAGTTTCCTTCAGATAGCTTTAAAACTGTTGGACTAGTTTGCGTAGAAATGGAAAGATAGACGGACGGACAGACGGACATGACTAGATCAGCTCTGAGAAGCTGGTCGCGCGCTCTGAAATTGTTGTTGCAACAGCGGCGCTTGTTTATTCCTGGTTGCAAAATCGTAAAAATGTTAAATAGCTAATTTATAAGAGGTAGGTTCAAAAAATAGTAGAGGTTCAAAAACCGAAATTAGGCGCTGTACATTTTTAGTATTTACATTTAATAGATGAGCAGACGTTTTTTTTAATATTTAATTTTAAGGGTTGGACAAATGATAAAATTTATTTTTAAGAGATGAGCAAACGATAAAATTAAGTTTCAAGAGATTGGCAAACGTTTTTTTCTTAAAAATATGCATTTTTCAGAGCTGGGCAAATAATACAATTTATTTTTAAGAGGTGGGCAAATTTTTTGGTAAAAATATTTATTTTTAGGGGTGGCCAAACGATAATATTAAGTTTTAAGAGGTGACAAATGTTTTTTGTTAAAAATATTACGTTTTATAGGGTCTTCCCACACGCCGTTATAGCGAATCCACCGTCCGTTGAACTAAATTCCCCATAAGGTTTTGCCGTTCCGAATTTTCTCAAATGGACCGAGGCTAGAACGCATCTAAATTAGACATCTGCATGAGTGGCAAAAAAATCGCATTCAAATGCACAAAGCTCAAAATGAGTGAGTGAATTTGAAGCAAATGCCAAACTGAATTGAATGAGTAGACTCGCTTACGTACGACTCAGCCGCACAAAGAAGAAACGAATGGAATGAAATGAGAACTCAGAAAACTGAGACGCTGAATTCGAGTGATTCGAGTTGCAACTGTAAATAACACTACAGTACCAAATGTTTCAGAATAAATAGGTTTAATCGACCGCCACGTTTGGCTGATGCCTCGTCTAAATTGAAACATAAGCAATTGATATGCGTTTTCATGTTTCCATGTTTCTTTGTCTTTGATCTGCGATCTCTGAAAATTCGAATTCGTGCACAACAACTCGAATCATTCGAATGTAACACGCATTGCCAAATTTGTTGTTTCTTTTTTCGCGTCATTCGTTCTCTTTCATTTCGTTCGCCGTCCCAAGCTATGAAGCAAAAAGAGAACGCATACCTGATACAATGTCATTTGCTCTTTGTTAGAGAAAAATCATTAGAGAAACTAAAATTCCTTGTCATTAAGTGCGGATAAATTCGGACGCAATCTGAATCTAAACTATTCATTTTACTCCCACATCGGCCGCTTCAGCCATCATTGTATACGTTTTCATGAGCCACAGCTGATCGATCAGCTGTTCGGATGCGGATGCACTTTAACGCAGCTCTGTGGGTACACGAGTTTCACTTTTTTTTTTAAATCCCAACCGTTCCTCACAAATGCGCTGTGTGGGAAGATAGTATTAGGAGATGGACAATACATTATTTCTTTGGTAAAGCGCAGTAAATTTTTAATATTTCCTATTTCTTAAAGTTTACCTTTTTTCAAAATTCTAAACTTTGGGCAAACGATGTTAGTCCGAAAAATTTTTTTTCCGAACCCAGCTTCTCTGAGCTCCCGCGAAAGTCAAAAAGTTCTTCTTCCTCTTTTGGCTCGGTTTTTTTATATAGAGTTTTGCTGCTTTCAGAAATTTATCTTATGCTAGTAACAGCTATAACTATTTTGGGCATGCTTGTAGCTTTGGCGCCACATTCTAAATTCCATATTTCAATCGTTCCTCGCATTTTTATACCCTTGCAGTGAAGGAGACGTTTCCGACCCTATATATATATTATATATATTACTATATATATATATATTACTTGATCAGCATCAACAGCCGAGTCGATCTAGCCATGTCCGTCTGTCTGTCTGTCCGTCTGTCTGTTTCTACGCAAACTAGTCCCTCAGTTTTAAAGCTATCTAAATGAAACTTTGCATATAGTCTTCTATATACTCTCACTGCTATATATGTCGGAACGGGCCGGATCGGACGACTATATCATATAGCTGCCATACAAATGTTCGATAAATTTTTAGAAAAAAAATTAAAACTTTTTTTGGTAATTGCCATTTTATATTATTTCAGAGTTTTGGTAAAAATTTTATGAAAATCGGACGACTGTATGATATAGCTGCCATAGGAACGGTCGGGAAATTAATAGGAAAAAAATTATAGCTTCGTTGTTATTCAACGTATTTTTATCTACTCTGAGATATAAGCTTTTTTATTATTCTAGAATTTTTGTATAAATTTCATAAAAATCGGGGAACTATATCATATAGCTGCCATAGAAGCGAACGGTAAATGTATAATATATGTAAAGCTGGGAATGTAAAACTGTAACCGTAAAACTGTAAATATAATAAGTATAGGTAAAATTTAATGAAACTCTGTTTTGTGAGTGTTTTAGCATTTAAATCTATAATATAAACGTCAAAACCAATCTGCAAGGGTATACAAACTTCGGCGTTAGCTTCCTTTCTTGTTTGTTTTCATTTTCACTGTTAAGAAAAATAAATCTGAGTTGCACCGAAAAACTATATTGCGTAACTTTCGCCGACAAACGGTGGTTAAATACAAATGCGTTTTAACGCGGTACAAAATGAGAAGTTTCGGAACGGTAAAATCTTTTGGGCAGTATGTTCAACGGACGGTAAATGCGGTTTGACGCTCTGTGGGAAGACCCTATAACGTGAGATAAATTTGCTTAAAAATCAAAAGTTTGAAGAAAAGGCGGAAAATGGGTCACACTGACATGTATGACCAGCTGTTTTATGTAAGCAATGGCAATGACCCCCAGGCATTGTTATTAAAAATCGAATTGAAATGCACTTATGAGTTAAATCCCATATCATGGGCTTCGTCCTACCTGAATTTATTAACGCATTGAAGGGAGAAAGGAGAAACATTTTCTTGCGGAAAGCGAAAAAGGTTTCGAAGGAACTAAATAAACATACATTTAAGAAACAAATACCTCTTTGTCATCTACAGCTACATAGTTTCATTTATAAATGCAATCACGGCGAAGTCCATAATATTTTATTTTATACTGTCTTCCCACACAGCGCATCTGTGAGGAACGGTTGGGAATTTTCGCAGATGTGAAACTCGTGTTCCCACAGAGCTGCGTTATACGATCTTCCCACACAGCGCATTTGTGAGGAACGTTTGGGATTTTTCACAAATGTGAAACTCGTGTTCCCACACAGCATTAAAGCGCATTTAGCATCCGAGCAGCTGATCGATCAGCTGTGAGCTCATGAAAACGTAAACAAAGGCTGTCGAATTGGCAGTTGCAAATTTGAAATGGAGCATTTACCAACTATTTTGGCTGTTGTACAACAGCAAAAGGCACAGATTGCGTCAGAATTTATCCGCAATAAATTTAAATGAATTAAATGACAAGGAATTTTAGTTTTTCTAATGATTTTTCTCTAACAAAGAACAAATTCCCCGAAGAGTGTCTATAGGTGGTATAGGCATCCAAAATCTTTAAAATAAGGTAGAGATAGGCGGTTTATATTAAATAGTAACAATTGGGGACATATTGGGGCAAGAATATACAGAAAAAACGCCAACAACTATTTGGGCATGCTTGTAGCTTTGGCGCCACGTTTTAAATTCCATATCTCATTTGTTCCTCGCCAAGTTTGTTTACATTTTCGTGGTGAATGGTCAAATTTTCAAAGTTGCACCGAAGAACTATCGCCTAACTATCGCCAAACAAACCGTGGTTAGATTTTAACGCTGAACTAACGCCGGGCCATTTGGGAAAATTCGGAACGGCAAAACCTTATGGAGCATTTGTTCAACGGATGCTAAATGCGCTTTAACGCTGTGTGGGAAGACCCTATTAAAGTGCATTTGCATCCGAACAGCTGTGGCTCATGAAAACGTAAACAAAGGCTGTCGAATTGACTTTTGAAAAATTGAAATGGAGCATCTACCAACTATTTTGGCTGTTGTACAACAGCAAAAGCACAGATTGCGTCAGATTTTATTCGCACTAACTCATAATGAATTAGATGACGAGGAATTCTCTAACAAAGAGCCAATTCCCCGATTAGTGTGTATAGGTGGTATATGCTTCCCAAATCTATAAAATAGAGTAGAGGTGGGCGATTTGTATTTTGTTATTATATTATATATGGGCAAGAATATACAAAAAGAAAAAAAAACGCCAACAACCATTCTAAATTCGGAACGGAAACCCTTATGCACCGTTTGTTCAACGGCTTTTGTGCTTTGGCAATGTGTGGGAAGACCCTATAAAGGAGCGACAAAATTAATTAATAAATTGAGACCACCGGAATTAAAACTGTAAAAAATGTGGTAGCCCTTGTGCCCTTGTTTTCTTGTGGAAAACAGCTGTTTTAAGTTGAATTCATTTTTTAAATATAAGTAGGCTGAACTTTGCAGCGCCTTGAATGGCATTGACCCTCCGACCATAAATGTTGCATCTTGAATGCCAATATTTTCTTAATTGCAGCTATTTCTGCCTCCTCCTGGCTTCAAAATACGCAAGTAAACATATAAAAGGCATTCTATTAATTTGTTTAATTTTGACCGAAATCACAAGTTAGCTGTTTGAGCGTTATAAACGATGAGAAAACGAATAGCAAAACGATAGCAAAAATTTGAGCACCGGAGCAGCTAAAAACGAAAACGAGCGATTTCGCCCAAAAAGAAAACGAAAAAATTTTACGATTACCGGAGCAGACCTGTATATCTACCGATTGTTTCTATGGCAGCTATATGATACAGTCGTCCGATTTTCATAAAATGAATATAAAAACTATAAAGTACAAAATGATCATATCTCAAAGAAGGTGCAAATATGCTGAAAACCGGCTAAATTAAATAGTTTTCTTTTATTTAATTAATCGGACCTATGATAGCTATATGATATAGTCGTCCGAAAGTAGTCAGAAAACTATCTAAACAAGAAAGGAAGCTTACTTCGGCACGCCGAAGTTTGTATACCCTTGCAGATTGGTTTTCATATTTATATTATAAATTATAATGCCGAAAACAGACACTAAACAGTTTCATAACATTTTACCTATACTTATTATGTTTACAGTTTGACAGTTACAGTTATACATTCCCAGCTTTACATTTTCTCTACATCTACGGATCGCTTCTATGGCAGCTATATGATATAGTTGTCCGATTTTCATAAAATTTATACAAAAATTCTATAATAATAAGTAAAGCTCATATCTCGGAGTAGATTAAAATACGTTGAAAAACAAGGAAGTTATAATTTTTTTCGATTAATTTCCTGATTGTTCCTATGGCAGCTATAAGATATAGTGGTCCGATTTTCATAAAATATTTACCAAAATTCTGGAATAATATAAAATGGCTATATCTCAAAAATGATAGAATAATATTGAAAAACAACCAAGTTATAATTTTTTTTCTAAAAATTTATCGAACATTTGTATGGCAGCTATATGATATAGTCGTCCGATCCGGTCCGTTCCGACATATATAGCAGTGAGAGTATATAGAAGACTATATGCACAGTTTCATTCAGATAACTTTAAAACTGAGGGACAAGTTTGCGTAGAAACGGACAGACGGACATGGCTAGATCGACTCGGCTGTTGATGCTGATCAAGAATATATATACTTTATAGGGTCGGAAACGTCTCCTTCACTGCGTTGCAAACATCTGACTGAAATTATAATACCCTGCAAGGGTATAAAAATATAAAAGTAAATTTAAGAGACGATATCTCGGAGAGAGAGAACAATAGTATTTCCAAATTTTAAAAATTGGTACAGTAATTTAAGTTTGCGTAACGATTGTTTCGAAAAAATAAAACGTATTGAAGTTGCTGACTTATAGGACATTTTCTGAGCCCGGATTCGAGTGAAGCGTATCAAAAATCTTTGTGAAAGTATGTTCCAGTTTTTGGTTTCAAAAAGCAGTCGACCTGTGTTATCCGTTTTACCGAACTACAAAACCTACTATTAAAAAACTGCACTTTCGCTGCCACTTTTTTACAATTTTCAAAAATCCAAACATGGACAACGATTTTGATTGGTAAGAAAGCAATCAAACATTTACCTCCATCCCTTCTGAGCTCATGGAGCTTTTAACATATATTACGATCAGACAATTGTAAGATTTTAATGAGATCTTTAAATACGAATTGAATTGCAACGAAATAATTTTTTTTTTATATTTTCTGCATTCAATGAGGATACCACCGCTTTACTTGTAAGAAACATTGAAAATGCCACTTTTGGCAGTTGACGTAAGTGCCGCCACGTGCATCGCGACTGCCATGGCTCTAACATTTCTCTAGGACTTTTTGTTCTTCATTAATGTACTGAACATTACTCGGCCTCATTAATTGTGTGGGCCTACATCAAAGAACATCAAACAGAACTGAAGGCACTGTAAGTCGAAATGGTTAAAATTTAGCTTTATTTTGAGCACGGCATTCTGCAAGGATTCTCGTTTAAAGTAAGCAACTTAGATCGAATCAATTTAAATACTATATTGTTCCTCTTTTTTACACGCCTCTCTGCGGGTAAACTAGAAACCTCTTACAATCCTCTTTCTTTCATAATCCTCCATTAGAAAAGAAACACCCCCTCGCTCCTTATCATGATGGATTAGATAAAAAGACTATACTTTGAGTTTATTTGTTTACCTGGTAACATATAAAGAAAATGTTTTCACTTATAAAGACCACCGAAAAATGCAACAAGGGTACAAAGTAGAAACGGATCTGACGTATCTTTTTCTATAATCCATTTTAGGTACGATGGATTGGTTTCGGTTTCGGAATTATTTAATCCCTTGTGCGCCCTCTATCTTTTGGGTATACTTTACATGTTAACTGTAACTTCCTAGAATACTTGGATCTGTTAAATGATTACTATTTTGATGTAAATGTACCATTTTAATAGCCAAAAATATTTAGGTAGGGGCCACAATATCAAACTCTTCAAGTTTGAAATATAAAGGCGATACCTAAGTACTTTTAAATCCAGAAATTACAACAGCTGAGTCGATCTAGCCATGTCTAGCCATATTATTATTTTTATATAAGTATAAGTTAAGGTAGAATGGTCTATAACTCCACTCCCTGTTTAAACACATAAAAATCCGTTACACTTATCAAAATATGATTTTATTGTTTGTGTTTATGTTGTGTTTTTTGTTTGACTTACACTTGGTATATTATCACTATTGCAAACTTGTTCCGATAGAAGACGATCCCGGATTTCCCACGCGAATATACTTGGGCATTCCCGTTTATAGTCAGCAATTTTTTGTACGACAGGAGTCGTGGCTACGCGTGGCTTTGAACCACCTATCGCTCGTGGTTTAATTGATCCTGTTTCATAATATCTAAAAATAAATAAGGAAACATTGTTGTCTTTAGTGTAAGAAAAATTGTTTAATCCTTTTTATCCTATTATTGTTAATATTTATCAAACACGCTATTACAAAAAAAAAGAACAAACATAGAAATCATTTTAATATTTTCCAAAATAGGCACATAAAGACTGTTCATATCTGTATGTGATAATAATTGTACTTGTATCCTATAAAGTATATATATTCTTGATAACCATTCTCATAAGTATATAAGTCGGGCCACTATATCATATAGCTGACATAGGAACGATCAGAAAACTAAAAGAAAAGTATTTTAATTTAGCAGGTTTCCAAAATATTTGTATATAATTTCACAAATTTCCAGGTTTTATGGTTCTATAATTTTAGTATTACTTTCATGAAAATTTGACGACTATATCTTATAGCCGCCATAGGCACGAACGGGAATTTAAAATTATTTTAATTTCGCCTTTTAAGAGATATGACTACATTTTTCAGATATGACTATTTTTTCAAAAATGTATTTATTTTTATCCTTTTCATATAGCATGATTAGGCAAGGTTAATTTGCATGTTCAATCTTCCGTTTAATTTCAGCAACCTTGCTTTGGGTACCGGGTCACAGTCGAGATATGAAAAACTTACATTAAACATGGCGGAGACAGAAAAATTGACAATTATTTAGGAAACCCTCGAAAACCCCCGTTGTTTTTTAACGTATTTTCATCTACTTTGAGGCATGAGCTTTTAGTATTATTTCAGAATTTTGGTAACAATATTATGAAAATCGGACAACTATATCATATAGCTGCCATAGAAGCGATCCGCAGATGTAGAGAAAAGGTAAAGCTGGGAATGTATAACTGTAACTGTCAAACTGTAAAAATAATAAGTATAGGTAAAATGTTATGAAACTCTGTTTAGTGTCTGTTTTCGGCATTATAATTGATGATATAAATATGAAAACCAATCTGCAAGGGTATACAAACTTCGGCGTGCCGAAGTTAGCTTCCTTTCTTGTTTCTTTTACTTTCCCAATAAGATATAGTCGTCCGATTTTCATAAAATTTATACCAAAATTCTGAAATAATACCAGAAGCTCATGTACCAAAGATTAAAATACGTTGAAAAACAACGAAGTTATAATTTGTTTTCGATTAACTTCCCGATCGTTCCTATGGCAGCTATAAGATATAGTAGTCCGATTTTTATAAAATTTTTTAACAAAATTGTGGAATAATACAAAATGGCTATATCTCAAAAATAATGGAATAATATTGAAAAACAGCCAAGTTATCATTTTTTTTCTAAAAATTTATCGAACATTTGTATGGCAGCTATATGATATAGTCGTCCGATCTGGCCCGTTCCGACATATATAGCAGTGAGAGTATATAGAAGACTATATGCAAAGTTTCATTCAGATAACTTTAAAACTGAGGGACTAGTTTGCGTAGAAACGGACAGACGGACATGGCTAGATCGACTCGGCAGTTGATGCTGATCAAGAATATATATACTTTATAGGGTCGGAAACGTCTCCTTCACTGCGTTGCAAACTTCTGACTGAAATTATAATACCCTGCAAGGGTATAAAAAATCTAACTACTTTATATTATTGCTGCCATATCGAACAATATCTAGTCGAATCTGGTACACCCTTGCAGTTTGGAATTGGATTAAGAATAGATCCATTTCAGTAAAATTAATAGAATAACTCACAGAAGATACATATATGTAAAGATGCATGCAGATGATAAAATTTCATAAACATTATTTTTAAATCATAAACCGTAAAAAAAAACTTTTTGAGGTTTGAAATATCTAATATAATAGGAAATATAATTGAATACGTAAATGTAATGAAAATGTTTCCTTTCTCCTGTTAGATTTTCTTTTCATTTGACCTTTCTTTACTAAATCTATGGCGATTTTTCTTAAATGTAGAAAAATGTTCTTGTTTTTAAGGGGTTTTGTCCTAAATGTGGGAATAAGTGCGATTTGCCATTAATATGGGGAAAACTTTTTTAACACGAAAGGTGAATTTTTCTTTCATTTATGGTCATTTTTCTTTAATTGAAGGTAAGTGAGGGAAATTGTAATTTTATTTTCTTTCTGCTGCATAGGGAATTTATTCATTTTGAATAGACGAACCTTAGGCGCTTTTTGCCATGTTCTCAAATTTTTTAAAGAAGCCACTGATAACGTGAGCGGAGATTCTTACGTGACCGTCAGCTTAGTGATTCCTATGATTTCTATGATTAATACAAAATTATAAGAATCTATTATGTTTACCGCTGAGGGCATCCTAACAAAAGATACGCTCCTAGAAATATCAGAAAACTGATTAAGTGGTATGCTGCAGAATAACGTACTGATGAAAGCTACTATGCTAGATACTTGGGAGACAAACCCTATGGAATTCTGGATCTCACAAAAGTCAACTATGCCCATGCTAGCGAAGGTGGCATTAAGTTGCCTGATCACGCCTAGTAGTTCGGTTTCATCTGAACGGTTTGCTTCTGCCAAGGATCGTAAATAAGAGTTGCTTGAGAACGGGTATATTTGTTTTTTTAAGTTCGATGATTTCTATTCACTTTTTAAGTAGCCCTTATTTGCTTTTAATGGTTGATGAAATAAAATATAACGATTTTTAGGCTCAAAATGTACCCAAATTGTCAGAAACAGGAAATCTTTATCCAAGTTTTGGTAAACATTAAAAAATAGTTATATATAATATAATAATAATAATATAATATTTTTTGACGATATTTTTAAATATCATCGAGTGATATTTTTCAATACGATATATTTTTTTTTAAAACCAACAACCTTAATTTGTAAATGCAATAATAATATTATTTTTGTTGTAAAAAATAATTTTTAATAAATATTAATAATAATATTATTTTTGTCGTTGTATTACAAAAAAGACAATATTATTATTGTTTTTTAAGAAAGGTGGCTAAAATGCTTACACTTTTGGTGTTGCAAAAGAGATTTAATCTTTCTAAGAGTTGGCCAGCCACCGTCACCTCATCCCAGAGATGTTTGAACCAGTTAGGAATTCTAGGGCGAATTTCAAGAAAAGTTGACCAGCAAAACAAGAAAATTCGCCCGTAATTTAAGAAAGAAATTAAACGAAGCAAATCAGAAACCTTGTCCTAAAATAAGGAAAATAGAAAAATTAACCTTAAACAAGAAAGGAAGCTAACTTCGGCACGCCGAAGTTTGTATACCCTTGCAGATTGGTTTCGATGTTTATATTATAGATTTAAATGCTGAAAACACTCACAAAACAGAGTTTCATTACATGTTACCTATACTTATTATGTTTACAGTTTGACAGTTACAGTTTTACATTCCCAGTTTTACATTTTCTCTACATCTACCGATCGGTTTATATAGCAGCTATATGATATAGTTGTCCGATTTTTATGAAATTTATACCATAATTCTAGAATAATAAAAAAAGCTTATATCTCAGAGTAGATAAACATACGTTGAAAAACAACGAAACTATAATTTTTTTTCCTATTTATTTCTCGACCGTTCCTATGGCAGCTATATCATATAGTCGTCCGATTTTCATAAAATTTTTACCAAAATTCTGAAATAATATGGCCATATCTAAAAAATGGTGAAAAACTGTTGAAAAACAGCAAAGTTATAATTTTTTTTCTACAAATATATCGAACATTTGTATGGCAGCTATATGATATAGTCGTCCGATCTGGCCCGTTCCGACATATATAGCAGTGAGAGCATATAGAAGACTATATGCAAAGTTTCATTCAGATAGCTTGAAAACTGAGGGACTAGTTTGCGTAGAAACAGACAGACAGACAGACGGACAGACATACAGACGGACAGACGGACATGGCTAGATCGACTCGGCTGTTGATGCTGATCAAGAATATATATACTTTATAGGGTCGGAAACGTCTCCTTCACTGCGTTGCAAACTTCTGACTGAAATTATAATACCCTGCAAGGGTATAAAAATTGTATTAATGGTGGTTTTTCTTCATTTTACAATGCCTTCATATACACTTTTGTCGCATTTTTAGAACATTTTTCTTAGTTTTCGGGCGATTTTTTTTAAAGCGATTTTTCTAAAATCTAGAAATAAAATTTTATAAGTGTAGATGATTGAAAAACATTGAAGTTTTCATTTCATTCTATATGTATATACATATATACGGCACCATCAAATATTTGTGGCTTGTCTGACATATACTCTCAATTGTTACTAAGGTAATTTAATTACACGACTACGTTCAGATAGTTGTTTGTCGTTCATTAATACTTTTGTAAAATTAGTTCGTTGCCGCTTTTATTATTAGTTGGTCTAACTTTAGGCTGAAAAAAAAAGTGCAAGTCCTGTTGATTTAAAGATGTTTCTTTCTGCTTTTAAAATGAATTGAAGAAATATTTACAATCAAAAAATTTAAGTAAGATAAAATAGGTAAATGCGAACATAAAGACATATCATATTAGCTGAGCTTCAGAAAATTAATATACATTGTTGTTTTAGCCCACTACAAATATGAATAAATAATTTAATTATATGAATCTTTGCAAATAAATATAAAATTTAGTAGGAATTTTGGTTCAATTTATTCTGCACTCTCACCTGCCAAGAATTTTGCTAACACACCCGTTGGATACTTGTAAAATCCTTGAAATATCACATGGACGAGCACCTGAATGGGCCAATTCCACTATTTTCTGACGCGTTGAATCGGGCAACGGCCTTCCGTTAACATAGACGCCGCCCAATTGATTAATGCCACTGTGACCCGCCGTCGAACACCCAAAAAGTGAACTCTGACCGACGGACGAATGCGGGTGGTGGCCGTGCATGATGTGTTCCGTCGTTAGCATCATGATTAGTTCAATATATATATATGTATATCAAGGCGATTTTGGACAAAATGCTTTGATGATACTTAAACCATATTCAATGTTCCTATTTTAAGAGATATTGGTTCGTTGATCTTGTTTTCGCGGCCAAATCTTGTGTATTACAGTCGTCACTAAGCGGGCAAATGTATTTTTTATTTTGGTATTTCTCTGTTAATACTTCGGCGGGAGGTTAATATATTTAGTACTGCTATGTAGGGTCTAATAGAAAACATTCACTTTAACTATTTAAAAACACTAGAGGCGAAGTCCAAATAATAATATTAGTATAAGTACATGGTCCCGAATAGTAACGAATACCACCGCAATTCGCCGTAGTATCGATGGGGTTGTCGCGGCGAGCCCAACGACCTAGTTTATTAATCTGCAAATAATTTGCATTCTAAATTATCAAACCGGTGACGTTTTAGTTTAAACAAAAATGCCTGCTTTTACTAACAGGTTTTCCATCAGTTGACGAGGCGAGGCGCGCACTAAGCCAAGCGAAACGTTAATGAGCTCTCAAGCGAAAAAACACTGGCAAGAGCAGCAGCAATAGCAATACATCGAAAAACTTCGCTTCGGTCAGCCATTTTGAAAGAAATGTACCTGTATAGAGTTGTCTCTTTTCGTTAGCTGTTTTTCGGGAGCGAACGATTACGAATTGAAGCGAGATAGCCAGAATGACATGGTACGTTATCGAGGCAATGACCAATATGCAGGGCCAATAGAAATTGAGCAAGAGCAGGATGGCTATATTTTTGGCAGGAAAGACAAGGCCAACCTATCTTTTTCAAGTGTATTGGTTGGTTAATAATAAAACGAGGGGGGAAACTTTAACTTTATGAATTTACAGTGATAATAACACGGAATTTATATAAACCTACATTAAAATATACATATGTACATACTTACGTATCCAAACTCTTATCCGTCTACGTATGTATGCATATGCTTGGTTATGTTTAATGTTTATCTTAAGTTTAGGTCTTACATTTTTTGGCGTAAGAAAATCAAAATCTGGTAAAATTTTCTTAAATACTGAATTGAATATATATATATTATCTTCTTAAAATGTTTTATATTGAATCTTTCTATTAAAATGTATGTATATATTTAACATTTTTAAATAAATTTTTTAACAAATATTAAAAAACCAATAACTTATTGTCATTTTATTTATTTGATATATTTTATTTATCAACATTGAAAAAATAACCCGACCAAGTAAAATCTGGAAAAGTATATCCTTTAAAGACAACCCCTAAAGGGCTGCCAAACTAAGCTTACGCGCACTCAACATCCTGTCCGACACGTTTTTGGGATTTTTGAAGTCACACGCACCAACGAATCCAGTCACTGCCCACTCCACCCCAATTTTGTTCCTTCTATTTTAGTGCGCCGGCATTCAATTTTGTTTGGATTCTTCAAAGGGAAACATTCCTAGGACGACTTTTGTCATTCCAATTGCGTGTGCCAAAAAATTTCACGGTGCCTCGTGATAGAAAGTGACGAATCTGATTTTGAAAAGAATGTGTGAAAAGCATTAATTTATTCTAGAATCTAGATAGTGTGCTGTGAACTTGGAATAATTTAAAATTTTTTAATAATAAGACTTTTAGTTAAATGCACTATCTGGTACATATTTATGTAGGTAACATTTCTGTCTCTCAGATTTTACGCAAACTAGACTAGACTAGATATTATTTGTATACCCTTTCTGGGAATTCTAATTTTAGTCAGACGTTTTCAACGCAGTAAATAAGTCTTACCCGACCATATAAAGTATACATATACATATATATTTTTTATCAGCATCAATATGTCCCGCTGTCCGTCCGTCTGTCCGTTTCTACACAAACTAGTTCCTTAGTTTTTAAGCTATTTGAATTAAACTTTTCAGATAGTCTTCTAACTACTGACTACTGACTTCGGACCACTATATCATATAGCTGCCATAGCAAGGATCGGAAAATTTGTAAACAAATTATAAATTATAGCTTCGCTGGTTTTCACCATTTTTTTAACTACTTTACGAAATAGCTATTTTGACTTAATCTAGAATTTCGAGTATAATTTCATGAAAATCGGACGACTATATAATAATGCTGACATAGGAACGATCAGTAAATGTAGTAAAAATTGTTAAGCTGTAAGAATAAAATTGTTACTGTAAAACTGTAATACTGTAATGAATTTCCAATATATTATCTAATGCAAAACATATTGATTTTATCCGATTTATGATTTATGTAAATGTATATCTTCTGATAGTTGCTCTATTCGTTTAACGAAAATAATTCGATTAATAATGATTCAATTACAAACTGCAAAAGTTCAACGTGTCGAAGTTAGTTTCCTTTCATGTTTGTAATGATGTTAAACGTTTTTGTTTTATATCAGAACTTAGGAAATACATGATTTAAATATTTCTCATTAAGTTTTATATTTATTTACAAATAAAGTTTTTTAAAAAAGCATATTTTCTAGTTTTAAATATGTATTTCGTATATCAAACAAGAAAGCAGGTGCAAAAGCTCCCATGCTATTGTAGTGTTATTTAATATGATAATACATATTTATTGTTGTTAATTGCGAATACAGAATCAATCAATGCCGAGTGAAGAAACTTAAATCAATCTGAAGAAACTTAAATCAATTTGAGAACAAATAAATAAAAATACTAAAATTTAAAGTTTTTTCTCCTATATTATATAATTAAAGATAACGTATTTTAAGTCCTTTTAATAATTTATTTTAATATTATATATTTCAATAAATAATCTAGTGTAAACATTCAAAACAAACATTTTGGCCTTTTTAAGCTACCACTTTAAAAGTTTCTGAAGATTTATGTGGTACGTTTTCTTATCACATGTCACAATTTAGTTCCAGTCGACGATTTGAACAAGCTTGTCGTCAGTCGGGCCACAAAATCATAAAGAAAAAAGGGGATCAGCTGTTATTTTTCACAATGCAGTGGTTAGGATTCCAAAAATTAATGACACACAAAATGAAACGCGGAAAGTGATGCTGTCAACAACACTTGTTCGATTGGGATTAGAGAAAATAATGCCAAAGAGAGCTGAGGCAGTGCCAGAATAATTTGCCAGACAATACAAGAGATACTCAATACAAAAAAATAATAATAATAATAAATTAAAGAACAAGAAAGGAAGCTAACTTCGGCACGCCGAAGTTTGTATACCCTTGCAGATTAGTTTAGATATTTATATTATAAGTTATAATGCTGAAAACTCACACAAAAAAGAGTTTCATTACATTTTACCTTTACTTATTATGTTTACAGTTTGACAGTTACAGTTTTACATTCCCAGCATTAGTCAGACGGACAGACGGACGGGCGGACGGACAGACGGACATGGCTAGATCGATTCGCCTGTTGATGCTGATCAAGAATATATATACTTTATAGGGTCGGAAACGCCTGCGTTGCAAACTTCTGACTGAAATAATAATACCCTGCGAGGGTATAACAACACTGTTGTCGAAAATTAAATTAATTTAGATACTTTGATATGGTAAATTCCTCTTTATGAATTTGGGATATAGGTATGTAGTGGCGAAATAGTTGCGTTTCGAGAGAAAAATAAGGTTAAATGCTATTCTAATGTAAATATTATAAAAGACTAATTAAATAAATATAAAAAACGAAGTTAACTTCATGACGCCGATTTTGGACAAACCTTAGCAGTTTGCTTTTGGATAATTAATAATCATTCCATTTTGACCAAAAGGAGAAAAAACTTGCAGACATGGCCAGATCGAATCGGCTGTTGATGCTGATTAAAAATATATACATTTTATTGGGTCATCCTCATATTGCAAACTTTTTACTAATATTATATTAACCAGCAAGGGCATAATTAGAAAGCCATGTTTACTAATATAGTAGTATGCTTACCGTAGGCGATAAGCTGGCGAGAACGACTCCGTAATGAAACTCCGGAAATGTCTGGAGTTAATACTAGATCCAATTGGATAGAGCCAGGCTTCAGAATATAAAAAATTTAGCTTAACATTTCTGCTCAATTTTAGAGGGCACCCCCTTTTTCGATTTCCGGTTGAGTGGCTAATTGCTCATTGAAGTAGCATTGTAGCTCCGGCTACTACCAACGGTTTGCAATTTGTGATTTGGATTTTGAGCCGTTGGTCCGTTGTGGCTGTGCCCGTGCCCATGATGATGACGACGTTTTCCCAGCAGAGCCGCAAAGCTAAAACAGCATTGTAATTGTCATCGCTATCTGCATCCATGGGATAAGCTTAGAATGGCGCATCAATTTGTTTCTTAAAGAATTGCACCAATCATTTATAGTGAGCCGTTAATAAATATTGTAAAACACTCCCAGTGTTTAAATAGTTTGAACAAAATCTATTGAGTTCTATTAAAAATTATTCAAAAATTAAAATTAATTTAAAATAAATAAAACAAGAAAGGAAGCTAACTTCGGCACGCCGAAGTTTGTATACCCTTGCAGATTGGTTTTGATGTTTATTTTATAGATTTAAATGCTGAAAACACTCACAAAACAGAGTTTCATTACATTTTACCTATACTTATTATGTTTACAGTTTGACAGTTACAGTTTTACATTCTCAGCTTTATATATTTTATACATTTACCGATCGCTTCTATGGCAGCTATAAGATATAGTTGTCCGATTTTTATGAAATTTATACCAAAATTCTAGAATAATAAAAAAAACGTATATCTCAGAGTAAATAAAAATGCGTTGAAAAACAACGAAGCTATAATTTTATTTCTATTAATTTCTCGATCGTTCCTATGGCAGCTATATCATATAGTCGTCCGATTTTCATAAAATTTTTACCAAAATTCTGGAATAATATAAAATGGCTATATCTCAAAAATGATGCAAAAATATTGAAAAACAGCCAAGTTATACTTTTTTTCTAAAAATTTATCAAACATTTGTATGGCAGCTATATGATATAGTCGTCCGATCCGGCCCGTTCCGACATATATAGCAGTGAGAGCATATAGAAGACTATATGCAAAGTTTCATTCAGATAGCTTTAAAACTGAGGGACTAGTTTGCGTAGAAACAGACAGACAGACAGACGGACAGACGGACAGACAGACAGACGGACAGACGGACAGACAGACAGACGGACAGACGGACATGGCTAGATCGACTCGGCTGTTGATGCTGATCAAGAATATATATACTTTATAGGGTCGGAAACGTCTCCTTCACTGCGTTGCAAACTTCTGACTGAAATTATAATACCCTGCAAGGGTATAAAAATGTAATCGAATGTAAATATAGTACGCTAGCAACGCCATTTGCGCAGCATTCAATTACCACAACAACAAATATAGCTCCGAACAAAATGTATATCTCGGCTGAAACTGCCAACAACAGATATCTGATAAAATAAGGCGAACTGACTGACTGGATATATCAACAGAGTGCGCTAATTTAACTTCATCAGTGGTGATACGCCTACTTTTCCATATATA